AACCCGGTGCATACCTGATGTTCCTGATTTAAGATTGTGTGTAGATGGTTATGATTATTATTATCATTATTCACAAACATCTTATGGGCACATATGTGTTGTGAAGAAACCATAAAGATCGACATTCAGGCAAAGGTGGAGGCTGTATAATATATTTGTGGTCTCATATTCTATCCACTACAATCTTTCCAGAGGATTGCAAACTGTTAAGTGACGCTATGTTCATCAATGTCGATAATTATGTCTATCAGCATTTTATAATAGGTTGCATGTAACGGGTACACATTCAAATCAAATATTCACATACTTATTGCTATTACATGCAGCAAGTTGATAGGTGGCAATTTCAGTATACCGTCCGTTAGTTGGAATCCATTACGTAGTTCTCACTTTGAAAAGCTCACTGAAGTACTAGAAACAAGCAGGTGGATACAGATGGTCCACGGGCCTACCATAAAATACTAGCCCACTAGACTTGAGTTCCATATACAATGCTCCAACATATAATAAATACACCAGTCTTGAATTTCCAGGCAGTGATAACGAAGTTGTAGTCAGTCAACTCATTGCTCTTGTACTTCTAATAGAACAAAAGTTCTCAATGATACCATCAGAAACTTTGCAAATACCTTTTGGTTCAACTCTGAATCTCCTCTGCTTGGTCTTAGTTGGGATGGGGTTTTTTCTTCTGGTGTCGTTCTTTATTTTAATCTCAGGACCTGTTTGAACTTGATCACCTCACTTATAACAAAAAATACGTCCTGTATTGTGGTTATATTCCTATAAAAGTCAGGTATAAGCTGCAGAAGTTGCGAAAATGTTTTTTAGCATGCATTTTTGGCTATTCTCAAAATTCAACCAGTACTTAGCAATAATAGAAGCTTTCGACAGACAAAAGAAACTAGAGGCTGGGCGACCGTTTCCCAATTTACAAAATAAAAATAGAATATCAAGCAAACTGAAGTCAGCCTTCTTCGTTACACGCTGCGCATACCTTTGCAATACGTTACCGGTCGACATCTGGTCAGTTCGAACGATCGCTCAATTTAAATCTTTTCTAAACTGTTTTGTGGACTGGCTCGACGGAGCTAACCTAAACCAAGCCGCATTTACTGGTGATCCATTTAACATCTAACTGACTGACACTTAGTGACCATGTCACAGACTTCAATTATTCGACCCCCAAATAGCCTCTGTAATTTGACACCTGACATGTCGTGGTTCAAACAGTACTTTGTTCGCTTACTCTTTTTACACACTTCATATTTCCCCTTTTTAACGATTCAACAAATGTTTCTTGAGTTTTCTTTTTATCTCTACAACCATTGATGGTGTTGCACACACTGAGCCTTAGAAATATCTTGGACCACGACCCAATAAAACTTAATGCAACTAGAGACGGCTCGGGTGGAAAATCAGAGGCTGGCCGATCATGGGAAGCCAGAAAATATTCCGAATTATCGAGAATCCCTACTAGCTCATATTATGCTAGTACGAAACTTTTTATCGTTACTATCATCCAATTATTTCTTTACTTGTCGTCTTACTCTGCAATTTTGTAAACTCAAACTGCTCTTCCATATTCTCCGATCAATTGTTTGTCCTTATAACCTCCAAACCACATATTACGTAAACCATTAGCTATCGTCATAGCAGTGTGATATGTAACAGTTTAAGTTAATTGGTTAAGGGTTGATCTGGAACAACTAAGTAGAGCTCAAGTATTCATTAACTCCCTTGTATTGTATAAACATTATATTTCCTATTATTCTACATTGAATGATGAAAAGTTTTGTGTATTTGAACAGGTAATTCCTTGCTCCATTATGACTGCCCCACAATATAACATAATTGAAATTATAATCCCCAGACAAAGTAAGGGAGTGAATGGATACTTGGGCTATAGTGTCTTGACATTTACTTAGATGTTTGGTGCCAACTCTTGATCAATTAACCCAAGTTGTTACAAGCGAATGGTAAAATGTAATGATAATCTGTTCACCCCAGGCCTCTTAAGTGATACCGGCACCACACTTTCCATTATAAATGAAATCTACGAATCGCCTCGCGTGATACTTTAGGTATCTCCTGCAATGAGGATTCTGCAGCCAACACAGTATATTCTATCCCGATGTTCCTTTGCTAAACCTTGAGTAGTCTGACTCTTCAACTGCTCAACATTGTTTTTAGTGTTTAATTAACGTCTCGACCATGAAAAACGTCCATATTATGCCCCCTTTTTTCAGTATGACATTATTATCTTGGAACATGTTTGAATAGGGTTCAGTAAGCTCGGAATACAAAATAAACCCGTCTCAGGTCGTCTGGAAGCCCTAAGTTTGGGACCTTTTCAGTGCAGAAGGATTGATTCATCATGTCACTCGTAATCCCCTTCATCCTGATAGATCAATGATAAAACCTAATACTAAGCTACACATAAAAATACGACCATCTAGGTAGTGTAGCGGCAAATAAGTCCCCAAAATAAATAGCTCTGTAAGTCTTCGACATTGGATGCTGACCGCCTTAGCTTTAATGGACTCACCTAGCTGTAGGCGCCTGATCGTGCATCCGCACCACATCACGAGTGGTAACGCCGTGCTCAACATCCCCTGCAATCGCTAGCCAGATTAGGTCGATCGATCCTCAATATATTGATAGCCTATCAAATATATCTTCGAACCTCCTCGCTTCTTTCTTTTGATTTCACTTAGTGGGTACGATTCATAGTTGGTGATTGGAGGTAGTTAACGGGAAACACTGGACCCGGGTTTCTTGCTACTTGGCACTCGTCAGCAGGGTGTACCTGTAGTCTTGAGGGAACTGCTGCTCTCTGAGGGATTCGATCCTGTTGGCTACCTCCAATCACCATTTAATCTCAACATAGCGCACGCAATGTGGAGTCACCTAGACTAGTGGCCACACTGCAACTTGGTCGATGGCATTCAATCTTCACTAAAAAGGACTTGACACACATGACACTGATTACCATACCAGTGATCAATCAATTGTGACGATTCATATAGAAGGTGTTACTGGTTAAAGAGTTGTAAAACTCCGAGCGCCTGTGGCATCTTCAGCAGGAACACTAACGAACTGCCGAAAAATTCGTGATGGGTTGGTTGTTTTCAAAATCGACACACTATGGAACTTATTACCAGAGGGGGAGGTAACGGAACCTTCTGCAGTGTTCTAAGGCTAACTATTGAAAGTCCTTCACTTCCACCACTAATTCAGCCTTCAGTAGTAAGGGTAGGGGGATTTCATTAGTCCTTGCAATTTATAGTAGTGTAGAGATCCAATCGCACTTTGAATGTATCAACAGAAGGTTCTAATATTACGTATCCTGTTAGAGAAATCCGGTAATTCACCACTCCGTGTGGGAAAGGAGAGCCAAGGCACAGGCGATTGGATCTCGGTCTTCTGGATTTCCATAGAATATCCTTTCAGACGATCAGCCTTAAATGGAAGAAGATAAAACAACAACATCTTTATTCAATATACAGTAAGCCATTTTCAGATCACTCAATAACCTGCGATAACATAATGGAGATAGGCCGAGACGTCTCAGTCCGTCTCCATAAGTTAGGCCAGACAGACATTATACCATTTTGGTCCCTTGCCACTGAAACCGTTTTAGCATATCTGCCTCATACTTGAAACAAGGACTATCTGTTTGAATCCCACATCCCAAATACGGCCTCACAAAAGTCAAGTATAATACCCTAATAATTTCTTTGCTCAGATACTGATTAGCAAACAGACCATAAGATCACGAAACCTTTGGCAGAGGCAGTCCTGCAATTACTCGTAGGGCTGAAATTGTTGACTAATGGATCTTTATTGTCTATTTCTTTAGGTTATACAACTTCAAATATCAGTCTTTAGTAATAAGGATAGTGGGTTGGTGGACCTGTGTCAGTCCTTACAGTTTGTCTTCCAGTAAGGGTTCAGCTTCAAAATATTCACTGATAGAGCTGATACCACTTGCTCGGGTAAGACATTCCAGCCACTTTAGTTTATTAGATCGCAGTTTGTGAATCTTCTCGCTATGACCTCGGAGATTATTAGTGCTGGAGGGAGCAAAAAGATAAGACATATTAACACCAAAATCGCAATTAAAGATACGAAATTTCAACATACGATCACCTGCATTCTACGATACGACAAGGAAGACTTTATCCTTCACTCACAGAAGTAACATAATAGGAACTATAAACTCAAAGTGGCAAGAAAATTCTCAGACTACTCAGGTACAGATCCCAAGGATTAAGTAGTTCACTAGTTATGACACTCAAATTTGGTGTTTTGAGTTAGAGCGTGGATTTGAATGACTGGCTACTCAGTTTGATGTTATGCAGTTTTTCAGCACAGTTTGTGATAGAGTTTCCTCTTTCAGTTCAAATATATATGAAACCTTCTATGATCTTATTAACAAGTTCACTTTGTTTTACTCTGGAGTCCTTATAAGTATAAGAGAAGGTATTTTGGCAGAAATATTCCCGAGCCTTCTTTTGTCGTATGTAAGTAGCTGGGTTGGAATTTCTCGAGATTTACAGAATGCCACGGTCCTCCTCATACTGACTCTATTTTTGCTGGGTCTATCGACATTTTTACTACTACGGCACTTAAAGTCGCATGGTATTTTAATGTTTCTAAATTAATTTTTATGTTGACATAGTGCCTTTGCATGTTAAAACCACTCAAGTTCCTCGGGGATTTCGCCGAAGAGATAAGATCAGGTACCATGCAATTAGGTTCGGGCGCAAATTCAGTGAAATAACGGAGGAGTTAAAAAAGGTACAGACAAAGGAAGAACGGAGAACTACTATTATAAATTTCGCGAGAAAGTGATTTGATTGTTTTTAACCCTCATCTTACAGAATCTTCAAGTTGCATGACATCGAAAAGTCTCCGACGCTGGCCTATGTCGACTTCCTGAGTCGTTTTTTGAACCAGATGAGGAAGATGTCTCTTCATTACCAGAAGATCTCCGCTTGATGATAAGTTCGATAAGGGTTTTTGGGCAACTGGAGAAATCATTTTTTATAAGGTTTTGCAAATTCATTGAGACAATAGAGCTAAATGTAGGCGAGTATCTGTTCCGTATTGGAGATGAAGATAAATATGTGTATGTTATTCGTAGTGGTAGAATCCAAATCACTGTCACAGAACCGGTAAGTCTTCATACCATTTTGGTAGGCAGCATGTTATATTTTGCCAAGAAGAGTTCATTTTGACTGTTTGCAACAATAAACACAGTCTAAAAACGCGTTATTTCTCATCAGTTCAAAATTTTGGGGGATTCAGTGTCTGTTAAATTTGTCGAATACTGGTCAGACATTTCGCAACACGGTTTATTAAAAATCCAAATTCACTGTGAAATTTTTGATATCATACAAGCCATAGTTTGTCTGCTAATAACCTGAAGAGTTGGCACTGTCCACTTTTATAGTTACGACTTCTAGTTTGCTACTATTGGGTTTTATACAAAATATCCACTGAGCCCCACTATATATATATATATATATATATATATATATATATATATATATATATATATATATATATATATAGTTTTTTTCTGTCTCCGCTGATTGTCTCTTCAGACTTCCCTAAATCGTCAACGTGATAATGAGTTAACTTGACTCTTCGTTTTTCCTCTCCGGATTTAAATTACAAATAATAAAAGCTGATACTATCTGGAATCTGATTAGCTTGCTCAGTCAGTCAGTAACAACGTAGAACTTCGTACGTACGTACATCAGTTCGAGTTGCCACACCACATTAGCACAGAGATGCACTTGTCGATTCAAATCCCGTAGTGGTAGAGGTAATAAGAGTATAAGCAGTAATCGGGAAGATTAGGGTTTGGAGATGTTATTTAAAGAGTATAATCCAGTGAAAGAAATTTGGAAAGAGGAAAAAAAGGGACATGAAGAATTCAGAAGATTAGAATTTGGGAGAACACAGAGAGTGGATGCACCTGCGCCATTGCAAACGATTTTGAGCCATGTCATTCAGGGTCTCTAACCATCGGTTGCTGTCATCTCGCGGTCCCCAACCAGGTAGTCTACACCTACCAACATGACTCAGTTCACTTGTCAGTGACTTCATGGACTTGTGCCATGTTTTGGTTTGGCCGCCCCTAGCTTTCTTCCAACCTACTCCTATACCACTGAACATAGCACGTCGAGGCAGTCGGTCGTTGGGCATACGTAACACGTGTCCCAGCCATCTCAACTGATGAAGTTTCACTACGTCATCAATTGATTTGCCATCCTTACCTAGTACCCGTTTCCTAACAACTGTGTTACTTACTCGATGGTCCCATGATATACGAGCAATGTTTCGAAGACACCTATGATCAAATACTAGTAACCTACGGATATCCTCTACTCTTACCGGCCATGTTTCACTGCCATAAAGTAGGACGGAACGAACTGCTGCGCAGTAAACACGTCCTTTGGTTGATAGACGGATATCTCGCCTACGCCATAAATGACGCAAGTTGGCAAAAGCTAGTCGAGCCTTCTGTATCCGTGCTGAGATTTCGTCACACACTAAACCACAAGGGCTGATGAGACTTCCAAGATAAGTGAAGCGGTCGACACACTCAACTACTTCACTCCCTATCACTAGTTCGGGTGTCGATGTAACCCAATCCTGAAGCAACATTTTGCATTTCGAGGGAGAGAATCGCATCCCGAACATGCTTGCATTGTTGCTTAGAGTGGCCAGAAGACTCTGCATTTTGTCAGTGTCTTCACCAAATAAAACTATGTCATCAGCATATTCTAAGTCAACAAGTGAACCTCCCGGTAGAAGTTCAACCCCTGTAAATTTAGATGAGGAGAGTGTTATCTCTAAAAGTACGTCGACCACAAAGTTGAACAAGAATGGGGAGAGTGGACAGCCCTGACGAACACCACTTGAGGTGATCAATTCTGATGACAGTTCGCCATAAGCTCTCACTCGACCAGTTGTGTTCGAGTAGAGAGCCTTTATAAGGTTAATGTACTTCTTTGGTACTCCTTTCAGTGACAAACACTGCCATAGAACCTCACGATCAATCGAGTCGAATGCCGCCTTAAGGTCGAGAAATACTACCATTGTGGGGCGTCTGAATGTGTGTCTGTGTTCTAGAACCTGACGTAGTGTGAATATCTGATCTATACAACCACGTCCAGGTCGAAAACCAGCCTGGTTTTCTCTAGTCTGCTCTTCACGAGCTTTAGTTAGGCGTCGAAGTATTATTGAAGCTAATATTTTAGACACTATATTAGTCAAACTGATTCCTCTGTGATTGTCACAAGAGGACTTTTGTCCTTTCTTAAAAACTGGCACAATCAGTGATTGAGACCAGTCAGATGGGATTACGTCCAGTTCCCAAATTCTACCTAAGACCTCAGTTAATCTCATTGCTAATACTGGACCACCATCCTTAAAAATCTCAGGAGTAAACCTGTCAGGGCCTGCTGCTCTCCCTCGTTTCAGATTTCCTATGGCTTTTTCAACTTCGTAAAGGGACGGAGGACCTACATTAACTTGCCATTCAGGTTGACTGGAGATCGTGGGAAACCGAAGTGTGGCTGAAGGCCAGTTGAACTGATCCCTAAAGTGTTCTGCCCATCGATCCAATCTCCTGGATTGAGAATGAATAATATGTCCATCTTTCTCTGAGATTGTTTCGCTAACGGTCGGGTTCCTAATTCCGGTTTCCTTAACGAGTCTGAACAATTGTCTGCTATTACCTATTGCCGCTGCCTTTTCCATCTCTCTTGCTTTCGCTACCCACCACTGTTCGCGATCATTGCGTAGACTTCTTGTCAGCTTGCGCTTAAGCTGACTCCGCTCTTCATTATGTTCAGAGCCAGGTGGAATGTGTTTCCGAGCATCTATCAGTGAGATAGATGCTGCTGAGATCCAGTGTTGCTCCCTAACCTTCTGGTTTACCTTACTAGCAGATATCACTGCTGTTTCCACAGCTTTTCGGATATCATTCCATGCTGCATCGGGGTGGGCATCACATACATGGCTGCCTAACTGTTTTCCTAGTTGTTCCTGAAATATACTCTTAGCTTGACTATCATTAAGTAGGGCCCTAAGAGGTTTCCTTGCAGGATCTTTCCTACGTCCAGTAAGACGCAAGCAAATACGCGCTCGCACTAGAGCATGATCTGAATCTAGGCATGTGCTCCAGAATGAGCGACAGTCTTCTATCGAGCCCCTCCATCGGTGGCTGATAGCGATGTGATCTATTTGGGTCCAACGTTGGGACGAATTAGGGGGTCGCCATGTTAAAAGATGTTTTTCCTTATGCTTAAAGTTAGTATTTGCAAGGAACAGGCGGTTATCTGAGCATAGCTGCAACAGACGGTCGCCATTATCTGTTCTTTGAGCCACGACACCATAAGATCCACCTAGGTGTCTTTCCTTATCACTTAGTTTGCCTACTTGAGCATTAAAGTCACCGGCCACTATTACTACATCCGAGCGCCTAGCTTTTCGGAGAAGGTCCGAAAGCTTTCTGTAAAACTCATCTTTTACATCATCTGAGCTGCAGTCAGTGGGAGAATAGGCAGAGACGACGAAGAGGCAACGACGAGTGTCCCTATCTTTCCGGATTCTTACTGTTCCGTTCAGTCGGACAGCGCACAAACGACTGTCTATTGGGATCCACTCTAAGAGAGCTAGTTTGATTAGCTTGCTATAATAAAGGATTCTCATTTATCCTTTATCTTACTGTGCTTTGAACAAAACATGTCAGTTTCTATTCCTTGATATCATTTGTCGCTTTAACCTGCTTTTTGGTTGTTTCAAGTTTATAATTATGATAGTGTTACTACTCTCGGTCCTCATTTTTGTTGATATTTTCTGTAAAGTACAGTAACTTGTTTACATCGTTTTACCTAGCTAAATTAATTCATATTCAGACATCAAAAATGTGTCACCAAACCGTTTATTTTCACGGTTTATAGTTCCAACTAGTGGTGTTTAAAACAATATTGTTATGTTAATACTTGTTTGATTTTCTGAGTTGAATATTTTCTGAGCATTACTATGCCTACTAAATATTTTCTCTTTGGTCTAAATGTATAGGATGGATCCAAGTGCATCATCGCTGAAGTTGGAAAAGGTGGGAGTGTTGATAGTTTGCTATCTGTTCTGAGTATACTTACTGGTTATCCTTCAACTTTTGAGTTCATGGAAGCAGTCGCTTTGGAGCCCACAACTGTATTATGCTTACCGGCCCGATCATTTTTGGAAATATGCAAAACACAAACACCTCTTTTTCGCATTATTCAGATGATTGCAGTTAGACTTCAGCGTTTGAGCTTCAACGCGTTACACACTTATCTTGGTTTAAGTTCGGAACTAATTAATAAGGTTAGTATTATAGTTCCTTTATCCTCTTTTACAATAGGCTATCTGCTACTTAGTAAAACCTAACTATTTCGTACCTAACTGATTCGATTAATTGAATTCCACTGTAATTTTTCTGTTGCTTTTTGCGTTCAAAATATCAATTAATAAGAATTATCTATCTTAAAGAAGGGCATATGCTATGTCATAATCACTCGATACACATTCTTGTTGCTTTTTGGGTTCAGTGTTTGATTTCTTCTATCTGCTTGTTTTTAATCGTCTCATGAAGAGTAATACTCTGAAGAAATAGTTAAAGATGTGTTCGCCTAAGCTCTATGTTGACAGTATTGTGTATAAACTTTTACCAATATATTTATAGTTAAAGTTTTCACATACTTTACCTTTGGTTCCTATCGTTTTTCTTTCAGCGTTACTCACTTGCCACTCCATACCTTACGAGAATCAAAAGGATCGTAAATAAGCATAATTTAGGGGTTTATATACACGAACATACTCTTAGTTTGACTTTGGTTAATGTCCGTCAGCTAGACAAACAGGTTTATATCTTGTATAGGTTATACCTGTTTTGTGTAACTTATTTCTAAAAGAGATTCATGTTTTGGAAGAATAGACATTGTTCATCTCTTTAAGCGTGATACAAAAGTGTTAATAGCAGTTTTAAAATGTCACAAGAAAATAAGTGTAGTGTAAAAACTGTGATTTCAGTGAAGCAGATAACATTTCACATATTGTACTTATCTGAATTAAAGAGAAACAAAACAACAGGTATCGAATATTTGAAGAAAATATAACCGTGGGACAAAATGTATGTCACGAAAACAAACTCAGAATTAACAGGAAGAGAAACAAGTGAGAAATTGTATTCCTGTGGTTGGTTTCGAGATGAATTGCATCGCATGAATCTCGACTACGATATATGTATCTCCTAACTCAGTATCTGGCTTCAAGTCACAAGTTCTGTATAAGGATTAGTGATGTTACCAGACTACACAAGCCACAGTAGGTGAATCGCGTTTTGAACCTGTAAACTTGTGAGTGAAGAGAGGAATTTTTTGATATTTAAACTACTATTCTACTAAAACAACAACTGACAGACTGATGCCATATCGTATTTTGAAAGCCCCTAGCTTTTTCAATCCACTTTTGCTGACCAGCACAATGCATTGATGTAGGTGGCAGCAGATTATGTATACTACATATCGCAACTGCCCTAGTTAATCAAGGAATACGACCTTGATAACCGATTTACTGCCTTTACTTGATACTCTACATCTGGTATTCGCGCTGCTAATTCGCTCGTTTTATTGTTTGCTGATAGTACTTCGAAGGTACTTATGGTCATATGATAAGAAGTTGTTTGTGTATTTTGGTTTCAAGACCCTTACAATCCAACGTAATGTGAAATAAATGTCTGGTTTATTTACTCTCCCTAATATTAAGAATGATAAGCTGATCAAAATCATTTTTGGATAATCAATCCAGGTGATTAGAGGACTATTTGTCACTTTATCATCTCTCATGATCTTCTGCACTCTTAAAGTCTCAGAGTTTCCAAATGCGAGTTAAATAATTAAAGAATCAAACTTGATAACTTTTTACATCATTCAAATTATGAAGCCTTACAGACCATATTGTTATTGATCACGATTGAAGGGAATAAATGTTAGTCTGTTGCTTTTCTGTATTTTCATCATTTACTAAAAAGGTTTCTCATGATAGACCTGAAGATAAAAGCAATAAGTGTGTGATAACGGACTATCAAAGGTGGTTTCATTTATGACCTATCTTAGTGAAGTATTCAGTCTACTTGAAAATATCGTTGAAGATTGTAAGTAATCTGTGACCAGTGGTTATAGATAAAAAGGATATTAGGGATAGGCAATAACTAGAAGTTATTTTATTTAATCAAAGCGGTTTGAAAAAGGCGATGCTTAGTATAGCTATCATAAAAGAGGATTGAATATTTATTATTCCTGGGATTAGTAGGCTGAAACGTTGACTAAGATACCTCAATATATCAACTAGCCTACAGCTGCTCTTCACTTACTTAAACCTGATTCACAACCACAAATGATATTGAGGTTGGTAAGCGCAGGATGAGGCCAACAAAAATCAAAGCAGTAGGATCTGACCTCTGAAGCCCCTAAGTATGGTAGTCAGTAGGCACCAGTACAAGCGTTTTCTTGACAGAGGGGTTCGGGTTTACAGGAAAGGCGAAATTGCAAAACAAGTGTAAAAAACAAATATCTCATGCTACTGATTATAATTTATCCTTATAATAGTGGCTTCAATCACAGCTAATTTATAAATGAGAGTTAAGTACCGATAAAATAAATGAGACTGGGTGGAATACGGCTTCTAAAACTTGATAAGATTGTAATAATATAAGATAGAAGCGATAAACATTGTAAGTGCAAATAACACCTGTGGTAATCATTGTGTCGATTAAAAAGTCAAATGACCGTTCGCCTTTTTACTTCTCCACGTAACACTTCAGAAATTGATGTATTTACACTAATAAAGTGAAATAAAAACTGAACATTGAGAATATTGAATTCATTTGTCGGGTGTAGATTTTGCCCAATTGAAAACTACTTTTCTTTTTGGTGATCTGCATCATCATCAATGGGATAATCGTCCACAAATCCTCACAAAGGATGCAGTTGTTAGTAATATGTTAATCTATGAAGGGGACTATTAAGAGGAGTAAGTAAACTTATGAATTGATGCTTTCCCCTATTGTTGTAATATGTCATAGTTTCTAGGCCTTCAAATAATCAACGCTGTTGCAACAGTTACTTGGTTCAAAAAATTGTATCGTCATTTCAAATAGGAACTCATTGGGTAAGATTTCCAACATATGAGGCTTGGGTGTTCATCATTGTTACTAATCACCAGCAATAGATTTCTCATATCTATATAAATCTATTTTAATTCATTAGTAAGAGGCATTTAGGAAGATATTGATAGCAGTTAGTGATTTCATTGTTACTTGAATATTGTTTAAAAAAAGTATTTTCTTTAGTTATAATCGATATTATTGGATAACATGTTACCTATTCATTCAAATTCATTGTTTACATAGGAATTTTCCCCTATATCTGGTTCATCTGAAGCTCACGAATTCCTATGCAAGGTTTTTGAGAAGAGACCATCAATGAAAGACTTTAACGAATTCGGTAATATTAGTTTAAAGTATCCGGGTAAGATTTCCTTTATATTAATCAGTGTACTTGTCATCATTTTGATAAGTCAGTTAGTCAGTAGTCTCGAGTGCTGTTAGAGATATGAGGGTGGTTATCACTTCCGGATTGCCCACACTGTGTAAGGGTTCTTCTAGGAGTACTTGAAAAGGAAATGGGGCTAGAGTTGTCCTTAGTGATCTGAGAGCGTCGCTGCAGTCACTCAGCTACAACGTAGGACCAGGTTCATATATGCGTCGGTCCAAGTTGCCACACATCATTAGCACAACAGGATGAACACCAAATTCATAGAAGCAGTTTATTTATTTATTTCAACACATATATATTGGTACAGGAGTGCGCCAAATATATATGCGCAACACAAAACAATGGGAATTTAAAAAGAAAAAGAAAAAAAGTGGGGAACGTAAAAAAAAAATATAAACAAACAATAACGAAGAGATTGGTGAAAGGTAGTGTAATAATAATAGTAATAGTAGGGGAACAGAAGGGTACAATCAGAAGAAATCTTTCAGTTAAGGAAGATACAACCACGTTTTATGAAGAAAATAAAAGAAGGTTACAGCAGGATCACCACTGGCTTCTATTCTGAACAATATCTGATAACGTCTCTAGCCACTGTGTTGCACCATCTCTCGAACTCCAGCCAGGGAGTCGTGAAGGACCGACATAAGCCATCCCTTTGCAGCTTTCTTTCATACCACGAAACCATGTCATATACTGACCACCTCTCCGCTCTTCCCAACCAATCCCAGAGTCGGCAAATAATCCACGACGTGGAATTCTCTGGGACGACATTCGTAGAACATGTCTAAGCCACCAAAGTCGGTGTTTCAAGATGGTGACACCAATTGCATTATCGTCTCTGTGCCCGAACACACGACGCCGAGCCTCTGCATTACTAACATGGTGTTGCCACTGGATGTCAGCAATCCTTCGGTGACAACGTTGATCAAACACAGAGAGTCATGTAACATCGTCAACTTGGAGAGGCCAGGTTTCACAAGCATAGAGCAAAACTTCTCTCACCGACGCGTTGTAGATCCGACCTTTTGCAGCCAGACTGACATCACGAAGGCGCCAAAGATGGCCCAGATTGGCATAAGCCGCTCTGGCTTTCACTATACGTGCATTGATCTCATCACTCACGTCAATACCAGCACTTGTGTAGCTACCCAGATACACGAACTTCTCGACTACTTCTATCTGCTCACCATTCAGGGTGAGTGCAGGATCAGGATCCTGTCAGTCTTGTAAAAGTAGTTTGCACTTCGAAGGTGCAAAGCACCTACCGTACCTACGGACACTGATTGCCAACTGATTAAGTGCGGATTGCATGGCTTGGGCATTATCGCACAGTAAGACAATATCGTCCGCATACTCAAGGTCGAGAAGTCTTTCTCCAGGCAACAGATCCACACCGCTATTACTTACATCCATCAGAGCTGTTTCCAGAATGTCGTCGATGGCAAAGTTGGAGAGGAATGGTGAGATTGAACAACCCTGCCTAATCCCACTGCTCGAATGGAACAATGGAGAGAGGTGTTTGTATATAGGGCTTTTAGGATGTTAATAAACTTCTCAGGCACACCCTCCTTCAATAGACAATCCCAGAGAACAGTCCTATCGAACGAATCGATGGCAGCTCTAATGTCAAGAAACACTACGATTGTTGGCCTTTGATAAGTATGACGGTGTTCTAACATTTGGCGGAGGGTGAAGATATGATCAATACATCCTCTACCAGAAAGAAACCCAACCTGCTCCTCGCGAGTCAATCTTTCTCGGGTTTTGAACAACCTACGAAGTATGACGGAAGCCAATAGCTTGGACGCAATTGGAAATAGACTTATCTCCCGATAGTTGTTACAGGAACGACGTGAACTCTTTTTAAGGATAGGGACAACTATCGACTCATTCCATGACGTTGGTACACTCTCTAGTTCCCAAATCTTTGTAAACAACGTCGTCAATTCCTTAGTCAGAAAGTCACCACCATCTTTAAAAAGAGCCGGAGGCAATTCATTTGGGCCAGGTGATTTGTGGCGCTTTAAGAGTTGGAATTCCTTGTACACAATCACGCCAGCGGTAGGTGATCGTGATGTGATCAATCTGAGTCTAGGCTTGAGATGCAGAGGGAGGACGCCGGGTGGCACATCGGCGATGACTGTGCCGGAAGTTAGTGCTAGTCAGAAACAGGTTGTGGTCTGTGCATAGTTGCAGTAGACGGTCCCCATTATCTGTCCTGCGACCAAGAAGTCCCCATCGGCCACCTAAACGACTCTCTTCTATGCCTAGACGCCCGACCTGAGCATTCAAGTGTTTGGCTAGGACTACAATATCTGTCGAACGCACTTTCTGGAGAAGAACAGTTAACTGGTGGTAGAATTCATCCTTGATTGCATCCGGGCTGCAATCTGTCGGGGCATAGGTGGAGATGACGAAAAGACATCGTTTATCACGCCGATTTCTCACTTTGATGGGACTTTTCAATCTAACAACACATAACTGACTGTTAAGAGGGATCCAATCGATTAGTGCTGGCTCAGCTCCAGCGCTTAGTGCGACACCAACGCCAGCAAGACCAGACAAAGATGCCACAGAGTCTCCGGATCTGCATTATTGTTCGAACGTTGAAGGAAGCCGGTTTGAATGGTGCACGTGGTTTCAGAAAAACTGTTTTAGTATTCGTATTCGGTGGTAGTATTGAACTTTCGATTAGTCAGTGACTCGAGAACGTTTAGATAGAACCGAGTTTCCACCATAGGCGAGCTGCTGTATAAGCTGAAAATTAAGGATACTGTTTTGGCCCAAAGCAGCGAATTATCGATCGGACCAAGGGCGCGTAAAACACGTGCGAGCAGCCTAGATTCCTGATTGATCCTGCTTTCCGCCTATCCCAGCCAGTTAAGTCCAGAACACCAGTCTCAGCCTCTGTAATATGAATCGCTATATTTCAAGCATACTGTGTTTATATACCAATCAAACGGACCACAACGTACCAATAAAATATGAAACAACATTTGTACAAGAATTAGCCAGATGTGGCTGTGAATGAGGGAGGTAGTAATTAATATACTGGGTATAACTCAGGAATGGTAAAACGTATAGTAATAGTTTGTGGGTCAAAATAAAACTTAGAATAAGAGGAATGTGAATATGCATAGTTTAGTTGCTTAATAATTATATAATAGAAATATACGTTTAGTATTGGTCAATCAATAGATCCCTAAAGTTACCATTTATTATTCTTGCCGGGACATAAAAGATGCACAAAGTGGGAATAAAAAAAGTGAATAAGTGACGTAATAAAAAAAGGAAAAAATGAATGTGAATTGTCTGACTTTTAATCGAGGTGAGAATAGTATTTTCAGCAATTACCATCGTTTCATTTTATTTGTGTGTAGGCTGTGATACTGCCCCGGTGCCCAGGCCGAAGCAGGTGGTTTTCTTAGGAGGGCCACTCCCTAAGCCTTTGACCTAGAGGTCTGACCCACAAGGCAGTGAAACAACGTGAGGAGATTCAGTCCCACAATAGCCGGTGACCAACAATTGGTTCATACGCCATTTGTTCCTTCAGGATACTGGAGACCATGTACACCATTGGTTTGGAATTAGGGTTTTTCAACTCCTCTAGATGGATCCCCCATATCCATCAGCCCGGTTAGAGCGCCGGACATTCGCGTTTTGTCCTTTCACTTTCGTAAGCAACACCCCAGCCGCGAGAAGGCAGTGAGTAGAACTCCCTTGGCAGTGATTGTATGCACGTGGCCATGTGAGAGCATTTCGACAGAAAGAGCTGACTCTCCCCACTCTCAGCCGTACCAGGGCATTTGGGGGCCGGACACCACTTAGAAGATCATTCACGATGGAACTCTGATACAGGCATTTCACTTATCATCAGACGTTTGATTCTAACTGACGTGTGATTCATAGCTCAACGAACAAATATGTACGTAGTTGGTGGCAACCTTCATATTTCTTACCTATTCAAGGAAAAAAGCCTTGATTAACAATCTGTCCTCTTGAGATGGTGGAGAATATTTGTAGCTCAGGTGGATGATTTTGGTGGAGTTTTGTCCTCTTATATAGTTAGGGTTTGAATTAAATGTACATAAAGGACTGTTTTTAATCAGCGTACCTAATCAAGCATTCAACGCTATTATTATTATTATTATTATTATTATTATTATTATTATTTATAATACCATAGCATGATCTAGTTACAGAATTTCAGTTCTCTTTATCACTATATACTCACTTTTTTTAGCTCTATTTTCTTAATTAAAGTCTTAATCAATTTGTAGCTTATGATACGTATCACGTATTTTTACAGAAACTTCAAGTAATGGAAGAGGTCAGCAGGAGATATTTTCTTGGAGATCTCATTTTCAGAGCTATACATTTACGATTGTCATAACTTATATGATAATTTGAATTTTATTTCTTTTCTCGAGATGGATATGATTCAGTGGACAAGTTTTAAGTCTCCTCCGCATTCACACTTACTCATTGTACATATGTCGACCACTAGCTAATTTAATTATTCATTTATTTATTGATATAACTCATTTTTGATTGTATTTGCAGGATATAACAAGAGTAACTCACTTTAGTCTTTAGCTACATTCTGATATGTTTAGACGTTTTAGCCGGCTAATTTGTAGGTGACTTTAGATAGGATTTTTCCCAATTACAATTGCTTGTCCCTTAACAGTTAGTTGGAAAAAGAGGTTGACGAAATCAGGCACCGATGTTACAGAGTCCTTTGGTCAAAATAATGTAACACGTACTTTTGAAATTGGTGCACTAAAACAGTACTTTTCTGCAATCTTGAGTACTGGTCTTTTCGATGCTGGACACATCAACAGAGATAAGTTTTAAGAAGGCTTCCTAACTTACACCAGGCTACGAATTTTCAAGTCAATAATGTTAAATGACACATGTTGCTTTGTAGTAGTAACTGCTTTTGAAAAGCTAGTATTTAATGAATTTAAACTATTCAGAACCTACAACAAAAATGAACTGCTGAACAAGTTAGTGAATGAAAATATGGGAAACATAAGAAAAGTACATTAATATTAGGTGATATAAATCAAAGTTATTCCCACTAACTCAAAATTCTCTGGAGATTATACTATTCAATTATGTTTTCAACTTTTATCATGATTATCTGCGATAAAATAAAAGTGGGTTTTCGAACACCGATGGTTAGTATTTTTTAAAGTCGTATAATTGTGCTATAAAAATATCTGGACAATATTGTTGTTTATGGTTATGCTGCAAATAGATTTATTGTTGGTATCTGAAATGTGACTTTCTGAATCATACCTTGTAGTTCAGTTTATGAAAAATACAATACGGAGCATAATAACATTTAATTATTATTTACTTTGTAGATAATTGTGTTTTTCTAGATTTTTTTTCATTTCTCTTGTGCCATTTGAAAGCCCACACGTCTCATTACATCTCATAATTATAAAATATTCCGACAGTTGAGGTCAATCAGTTCTTTATATGTTCTGTAACTCAACATTACACTAATGATAAATAAATGATAATGCTCAATGAGAAACTTTTGAAATCCAGTTGTCATTTTGTAAATTTTCTGAGACAGTCTTCAGTCTCACGCGTTTGGTGAATATGTTTAAACTTTTAACCCACTTTGGAACTATCCTCTTCTTTGAGTACATTGTTATAAACGTTTTTTTTTTCAGATTTAGATCTTACATGTTCAAAAGTTAAATTTTCCATATCGAATGTCACAGATGATCAAAAGTCCAAAAATTCTGAATCAGAATTAGAACAGGTTTTCACCTATAATGATGATCTGAATTTAGATTCAATGTCTCAATCTGGTGCACTTGAATTAGGTGAAAGTCCTATATTTTACAATCGGAAAACGGCATCACCTATATTTTCACCTTCCCAACCACCTAGTCCAAATTGTAAACATCGTTCCACTAATTTACGTCGGGCACGCTCTCTTGCAGATACATCTCGTAAACTTCAATTAAACTATGACGATGTAAATGATGTGATAAAAGACATTGGTAATAAAAATAACAAAGGAGAACCTTGTGATTTTGTTAAAGATGTTAATTTTACCAAAAGTGAATTAGAAGAAATGATAAAATTCGCTGAAAAAGATTTAGCTAATTTATTAAATTTAACCGATACCAGTATCCTGCATGAACATGTTTCACTTACCACTGTTTCATCTGATTTTATACTTTCAAGAGAATGTGAAATGCAATTAGAAATGTATTATGTAATATTTGGAGAATTGAGAGCTTTCCAATCAACTAATGATGGACCTAATAATGATGTAATGATTGTTTTTGAAATAATGTTTGCTTTTATAAATTGAGGATTATTTAATTTTTAATATTTCTTTTCTCATATGTTATTTCGATAGTTAATTTCACTTACACTTATAACCTATACGTTATTCGTTTTTTTGGTATATCCTTATTAGTTATGTGAATAAGATACTTATATTTCAATGGAACAACGGTTTGGTAAACCAGATTAGTATTACTGGTTTTCAGATATAAAGGTGTTTTATCATTTAAATTCATAATTCATATGTCTGTGCAAGTAGTACACCAGATCGCATAACGTACTACAGTTTATAATTTACACTAGGTATATAATTAGGTTTTGTTACAAATCAATGTGTAAGTCACATATTGTTAACTATTCTTCAATGGGTAAGCGGTATAACAATAAGTAATAGGTCGAAAGGCAACTTTCAAATTAAACTATGTAAAAAATATGTCGTATAATAACTTTACCAAATACTCATTGAAAGTAGACAAGTTAATCGAATAAAGAGTATGACTAACGAAGTTTCATATGTTACTTTTCACACTCTAACAACTAATCAATCATTGAGTATTGACCAATGTCGCGTTAGTTTGGTGCTTTTAGTGTTCATTGAACTCTGTCGATCAAGTTACCATGTGGCAAGAGTTTCTGGCCAACTACCTTAATCTAACTGACATTTTCAAGAGTGTATGCAGTGTTTAATCGCCTAGATTACTGGCTATGCTACATCTAGCCCCCGGATGCCGAGGGTGGGGAGAGTCAGCTCTTTCTGTCGAAATGCTCTCACATGGCCACGTGCATACAATCACTGCCAAGGGAGTTCTACTCACTGCCTTCTCGCGGCTGGGGTGTTGCTTACGAAAGTGAAAGGACAAAACGCGAATGTCCGGCGCTCTAACCGGGCTGATGGATATGGGGGATCCATCTAGAGGAGTTGAAAAACCCTAATTCCAAACCAATGGTGTACATGGTCTCCAGTATCCTGAAGGAACAAATGGCGTATGAACCAATTGTTGGTCACCGGCTATTGTGGGACTGAATCTCCTCACGTTGTTTCACTGCCTTGTGGGTCAGACCTCTAGGTCAAAGGCTTAGGGAGTGGCCCTCCTAAGGAAACCACCTGCTTCGGCCTGGGCACCGGGGCAGTATCACAGCCCTGACACAAATCGATTGATGAAGTGTGGCGCATATATTTAGTGCCTCGTGCCAATGTTTGTGTTTAAATAAATAAGTAAATAAATTGGTCAATAGAATTTGACCAACATTGAAACGACTAGATAAACCTGAAACTACTAACTACTCAATGATCAGCCAATTGTAAGTAACTGTTGTACAGAAAGTTGTTCGCGGCTCAAATACCTCAGTGGGCAGTGTCTCAGAATTTGAAGCTGGGTGACATGGAATATAAGCCGCTAGTGGGTACCAGTTCCTTAAGAGTACTGGTGAATCTTAGTAGCGAGTGCCAAATAGTACGAAACCTAGGTTCAGAGTTTCCTATCAGCTGCTTCCAACTACTTAATATTTTCGCACTATCAAACAAACATACATAGCAGAAGTAGTCTTGATAAAAGTTACCCATATAAATCTAAATGTAATTTGACATAATTCTCCATTTAACTGGCATCAATAAATGCAAACCCATTAATGAATGATAAAACCAAAATATATCAAGTATGAAATAAATGATTATTTAAAGTATATTAACAAAATGTAGTTTTCAGTTTTAAATATGTATAATTGTTGCTGAGGAAAAAGATTTCTGTGCCAAAAATCCGAGCGTATTACTACTGCCTTGATTGGTGATAAAATAATATTTGAATCGCCAAGAAATCACGGAACTGGAAATCTGTTTTTTACTCGCCATAGATATGTATAGATGTCTTTAAAAATATTCGATTAAACTAATCAGAGTATGGCATTCATCTTTCACTCCATACAATGTATCAGCATTCCTGTGGTTTTGTGATTCATATGAAGAACAAGTTAAGCTATTCTTTTATTGAGTTATCATTCCTCTTTACATGATTTTTCTTCCTTTCAGTTAATACAACTTCTTATTCAAGTACAAGTTTCTAAACCTACCTTGCAGTCATACTTTTCCATTTTTAAGGTAGTAACCCTACCCGGCTTCCCAAGTATAATGGTTAGACGTTCAAGTTGTTCTATATGTGTTTATATTGGGGCTAATGGTCATTTTCTCTGACCAGCATACAAAATTTGTCGATTAAATCTGTGTTTGATAGATTTATTCTCATAACTAAATTATTGATAAGTTCTCATGAAATGTAAACCTTGCAAGTACCTTCCTAAATAAGAATTATAATTCCAAACTTTAGGAGCCTTAGTGTTCCACCAGGTATTATGATTTTATTATTTTCATCCGCTCTTTTACTTACCATTTTATGAACGGTTTATACGAAATTGAACTCATTCTAGCTACTTGAAAGTGGCTGTCTGTGTTTCCTGTGAATTAATTTGTAATAAATGCGTGAGTATGAAAATCATCTCAGTTAATTTATAAAAGACGAAAAACAATTTTAATTATTTTTATTTTCAGTTATACAGTTTTGAATGAACTGTATTCAAATACTTGAAACCGTAGTTCAAACCTCACTTCACTTTTGTTTATTTAGTCAAGTAATATCATACTATCCATCAAACAAGCAGCATAACTTAAAGCCAATTACAGAAAAAGCAGCTTTGTTAAACACTTTTTTTAACTAGACAGAATCGTAACTTTTAGCACTAAATTGAGATAATCAGTTGATGTTCGCCTTACGAAATGCTAGCAATAGCAATGTAATATCTGATCAACCTACGTAAGGCTCCCAATATCTCAGTGAGACGTGTTCAGTTCCTAAATTTGAAGTCTTTTCATATAATTGAATCACAAATAGCTTGATAAATTTCATGTCACCACATTCATATGGTTCGAGAAATTCAAATACAGATGTTTATTTTGGCAGACTAGGCTGAACCACTTTAATGCTGTACAACTAATGTATTCACCATATATAGTAACGAACAACTTAGTTATGTTTTAATTCACTTTTCATCTACTATGCATTCAAAACAAACGATTTAAATAACTAATGCTATCACTGACAGCTACCATTATAATACGATGTGTATTATTGCAGAGTGGGGGTATATTTGGAGTAATATCAAGGATTGCCCACTGAGAATCCAGACATTTTAGGATATAAACCGAATTTCTACGTCTAGTGCGAAAACTTTCTGGTTAAAATCCAACTAGAAGCAATGCAATTTATGACGTTAGGTATTAATCGCTGGAACATTCCCATTATATTAAAACACAATTGTATGAACGAAGAATATTCTTTTCAATAATTTCTCATCAGGTTCTACAATTATAAATCCAAATTAATAATCCATAAAATTGGCCAGATTTAAGACAGAGTACATCATTTGGAAATTGTAATATGTGAATTGAGAATTGTTGTTTGCTATATAAAATCAATTCAGATCATTTATCGCACAATTGCATTTCGCTTATAAACTGATTCAAGTTAACACTTTATACTAAACCGCCCCAACACTAACGATCTGAATTGATTTTATATAGCAAACAGCAATTCTTAATTCACATATTACAATTTCCAAATGATGTACTCTGCCTTAAATCTGGCCGATTTTGTAACGTTAGATATCTTTTTTATTCCCTTAGTTCTTTAAGAGATATATTCATTGTAGTTTGTTTCAACCAACTATGTACCATGTTTTTAAAATATCGTTAATCTTCACGTGTTTAAAAATTATCAATTCACTTATTGCTTGGATTATTGCTCAGGTCATTACAATGTTTAAATGTGGACCGGGAAAAGCAGTTGGACTTTTGGGACTGATAACCGGTGAACCAAATATTTATGGCGTACAAGCTACGACAAAAACTATTGTAGCTGTTTTATCCCGTGAGACATTTTACTCTGTAGTTCGTCAATATCCTAAGGCTTTGTTCAGTGTTACTCATATTATTTCTTCTCATTTATCACCGTTATTTCATCAACTTGATTTTGCCATAGAATGGTTGTCTGTTAAATCAGGAAAGGCTTTATATAAGTAAGTAGCAGCCAATCATTTTATAACCGAAATATGTTTTCGCGTTTAGTATCTCTATTTATTGTTGTTCTTTTGTTATTATTGTACAGCTGATTGTATGCTTGATAGCGAAAGTTCATACAGTTTTCACACCGGTTTCGTAAACTGATTTACAGGTCTCAAGCGTTTATTTATTTAGAGTTATTATTTTATCCGGCAAATGCATCCGAACCGTTGCATAATTTATTCTATTGAATTATGTTTGTGATTCTTTTTTCATTCGGTCAATCGAAAATCTTAAGTATTGGAAGAGAATACAAACAAGCAAGTAATATATAAATAAAAATAATATATAGTTATAATGTTATCAGCCAAATAAAATGATGTATACAAAGTCATTATTATTCTGCTTTTATGTGTCTTTTCTCAAATAGTGTCCCTGTATTTGTAAATGTACTCATACCTCAAACAGTTGTGTGTTATTTTGCTGTGGTCGTTGGGTCTCTGGATGTTCCACTCGCTTTGAATAACAGTATATGATGAATGGATTTAGATAATGGTGGTGTAAATCTATTGCCTGGAGCAAGACTTCTCGGCCTTGAGTATTCGGTGGTACCCAGGCAATACAATCTGCACTTAATCGGTTGGAAATCAGTGTCCGTAGGTACGGTAGGTGCTTTGCACCTTCGAAGTGCAAACTACTTTTATAAGACTGACAGGATCCTGATCCTGCACTCACCCTGAATGGTGAGCAGATAGAAGTAGTCGAGAAGTTCGTGTATCTGGGTAGCTACACAAGTGCTGGTATTGACGTGAGTGATGAGGTCAATGCACGTATAGTGAAAGCCAGAGCGGCTTATGCCAATCTGGGCCATCTTTGGCGCCTTCGTGATGTCAGTCTGGCTGCAAAAGGTCGGATCTACAACGCGTCGGTGAGAGAAGTTCTGCTCTATGCTTGTGGAACCTGGCCTCTCCAAGTTGACGATGTTACATGACTCTGTGTTTGATCAACGTTGTCTCCGAAGGATTGCTGACATCCAGTGGCAACACCATGTTAGTAATGCAGAGGCTCGGCGTCGTGTGTTCGGGCACAGAGACGATAATGCAATTGGTGTCACCATCTTGAAACACCGACTTCGGTGGCTTAGACATGTTCTACGAATGTCGTCCCAGAGAATTCCACGTCGTGGATTATTTGCCGACTCTGGGATTGGTTGGGAAGAGCGGAGAGGTGGTCAGTATATGACATGGTTTCGTGGTATGAAAGAAAGCTGCAAAGGGCTGGCTTATGTCGGTCCTTCACGACTCCCTGGTTGGGGTCCGAGAGATGGTACAACACAGTGGCTAGAGACGTTATCAGATATGGCTCAGAATAGAAGTCAGTGGTGATCCTGCTGTAACCTTCTTTTATTTTCCTCATAAAACGTGGTTGTAACTTCCTTAACTGAAAGAATTTTTTCTGGTTGTACCTTTCCGTTTCCCCCATCATTACTATTATTATTATTATAGCATTACGATATACTAATCTGTGGTTGTGTTGGGATATTCAGGAAAATATCCCAGAAATTATTCTATTAAGTCTAATGCTATTCTTGGACTTGGAGATGGTATTATTTACTTATTAGTCAGTACTTATTTCACGTGTCATTTTCCTACTGGTTAATATTGTACAATGTTTTTTTCTATTTTATCGTACGTTGTGGTCTGCTTGATTGGTATATAAACAAAGTATGTTTGAAATATAATGATTCATATATCCGAGGCTGAGACTTGTTTTCTGGACTCAATTGGCTGGGCTAGACAGGGAAGCGGGACCAATCAGAACCCTAGGCTGTTCTACGTGTTTGTGCGTCTTTGGTCCGATCAATAATCCGCTACCCTTAATCGGCAGCATTAATTTTCACGTTATAACAGGTTGTTATTGTTTTTCTTTCTCTCTTATACACACCTTACATTCTTTTTCTCTTCCCATTCTCATTGTTTTGTGTGGCGCATATATATCTGGTGCCCCCTTGTACCAATATTTATGTGTTCAAATAAGTAAAATAAAATATTGGTGTCCGACAAGGCTGTCCACTATCTCCATTTTTGTTCAACTTCATCATAAACATACTGATGGAAACAACGTTCTCGTCCACTAATTTTTCAGGAATCGATCTCCTACCAGGGAGTCCACTTATCGACTTAGAATACCCAGATTACGATGATAAAATGCAGTGTTTTGGTAGCACTGAACAACAATGCCAGTATGTTTGAGACGCGTTTCTCCACCTCTAAATGCAAGTTGTTGCTTCAGGACTGGCCCGCATCATTACCTGAGCTAAGAGTAGGGAGTGTAGTAATCGAGCGCGTCGACAACTTCATTATCTTGGAAGTCTGATCAGCCCTGATGGGTTGGTGTCTGACGAATTCTCAGCACGGATTCGAAAGGCTCGTTTGGTTTTTGACAACTTCTATGGGTTATGATGTGAGTCCATGGTCGGAGATATTCGACATATAAATGTCATAGTCATTTATTTATTAGTATCTCCTCAATGGAATTGCAAATCCAATTTTTATTCAATGTTTTCAATCTTTGTGTACTGATAAAATGTACCTAAAATTGTTCCGAAAGAGAGAATATTTTAGTTCCTGAAACATGGATATCTTGTACATTTTCCTATTTATTTCCGGTAAATGGTGACTTCGTTTGTGATCTGTTGTGCATCAAGTCTCTTCTTACAATTGTAGAAATGCCTTCAATTTCATAGCTTTGTTGGAAAAAAAATGTTCACTAATGGAGGTAGAAAATTTTGACTTATAATTTACTCTTAGTGAATTGTTTCATTCCCTATTATCATGATTATTTTATTCAGAATGTATTCCATTACATATAATGTTATTTTCTTGCTTTTTTAGGAAAGGAGAAATCGCGAATCATGTATATGTTGTTTTAAGTGGTCGATTAAGACAAGTCGACAATATGCCTGATGGAGGTCATCGTATAGTCAGTGAGTTGGGGCGTGGTGATCTCGTTGGTTTTCTTGAAGTCATTAGTCAGCAAACACGAATATCTACAGTTATGGCGATTAGGTATGGGAATTGCCTTGATCTCTTCACTTAAACTAATCAAATTCTTAATCCCTTTTCCTCCTAGTGATAATAAACTACATTTCCTTGACTAATGGAAACATTTATAACCATAATTCATGGTCGGTGTTTCTTGTTAAAATAAATACTTACGAATGTTAGTCAATTGCTTATCCAATACAGATTTTATTCTTGTTAAATCGTGTTAAAAAAATAATATTCTGTTTCTGGATCCATTTAACTAAGAATATCTGCGTTTTAATGATTCATTTGAGATATATCTGTGAAGACAGTCCACGGGTGAACTCGAGGAAGCCCTAAGAAGCTCAGAAAAAGCCGATAATATTCCATCCAACCATCTTGTGGGAGAATATTCCAGAGTCCCTACGTGGAGCTTCCCTATTGGACAAATGCTGATAAGCGAATTGGAGGACTATAATGATGATTTCGTTTTTACTAAAAACCATAGATACCTGACAGCTTTGTACCACAATTGACACCGTTTGGAATACCATTCTTTTCACTTGTCTTCTGTCTTCTCATTTGCGACTTGGGAGTGTTCTAGCGTCGAGTGCTCAAGTTATACGCGGCATAGTAAAAATCTAAGCTCTAGATATAAAAAATCTTCTACACTCTTGCAACGTTTCCCAAGGGGTATAGAAGACTACAGTTTGTTAGCATCTTCAACGGACAAAATTATGTCATTGATTGTTACTCTAAACCACCATATCTGTAGGTGTAGACCTAATGGTTAAAGCCCTCACAATTGCCGTAAACTATATTTTGTAGTATTGGACTACATGGTCTTAAATCGGTAGCATTATTTCAGTTGCCCTCAGTATCTTTCTCCTAATTTTGGGTTTACCGTCATTCCATACTTTTCATCTATCTCATTTGTTTTCTTTAACCCGTATTTCTCATATTTGGATTGATATTTTGCGTAGTGTCATTTCTCTTTCTGTGCTTTTCGTTTTATTGATTTTCTCTATCTGTTTCTATGCTGATGTTAGTTCTTTCAACTTGACGAATACATATTCATTCAAGATTGCTCATGGATTATCAATGATTAACTAATTAATATAACATGCAGTAGGAACTATAGGCAAAGATGGATGGTGGCTAGCAGTGGAGTCCAGGATGCTCATTTCGTCCTATCTTGGACTCGTTGGCTGGATGTATTTGTATCCCAGTGTTGATGTTCACTTCGGGACTCGAAACCAGTACCATTCGCCTTAAACACCATCGCATTATCTAGTTAGCTACTGAGTCCTGATAGCCATTAGCTTGTGCAGCTTGATGAAGTTTAAATTCATTTTATATTGTTTATTTGAATCTTCTCATTGATGTTTAGGACTGCAATTGATCAGTCTCCTATTAGCATATATACATCCCTTGCGAATTGCCTCGATATTGCCTTAAGTTCGCAGGATGCACATATGTCAATGAGAGACTTATTAATTGCAGTCCTAAATATCAATGAGAAGATTCAAATAAACAATATAAAATAAATATGAAGTAGAACTTCTGTATTAATTATAATAATTGTTTTTAAATGATCTTTAATGATGAACACCAGTTAAAGTACTATTTCCTTTCGAAATATTTAGTTAATAATAATTTTATTGTAATTTGGAAGAATAATATTCAGATGATTATTTGATAATAATACACGTGTTATAACAAATGATATTTATTTAATAAAATTCTTATTTCATTTTGTTATCACGAATTATTGTGAATATTGACTAATGAAATTTATTTACTTTATCATTGAAAGAATAAACTAATTATTACTTCAATAGTTGAAATCATGAGTCGATTGAAGCTAGACCACCATGGAAAACCTGGAAACACTGGACGGCCTTTTCATCCCTGTATGGGACTCCTCAGCAGTGCGCATCCACGATCCCGCCTCCCGCGAGATCCGAACCCAGGACCTATCGGTCTCGCGCGCGTGCGCTTAACCAACTAGACCACTGAGCCGGCCGGCATTCAACGGTGTTAATGTCTAACTTCAACCAATCCACGAAATTGCGCCACTGTACACCATTGTCTATTTTCTTTTCTTACATAGGATAAATAGAAATTATCTTTGTTAAGAGTAAACAAACAAATGGGATGCTAAATCAATCAATAAAATAAAAATAAAGCATATTTATTTTGTAAATTCACTTTTCCATGATATACATTTAGATTGTATTTTTTTACAATTGTCAACTAGGAGTTTTAAGCTATTTTGTGAAAGTACAATATGAAAAGATTATTTCTAATGTCTTTTTTAGATGGTGAAAAAAGTTTGTTAGCTAGTGATTATGGTGTTCTGCATATGAACGATGAAAGTTCCATGATTGAATTATCCAAACTAAAGATAGAAAATTCATCAAAATCTTATCTTCTTTTTTTATTGAAAAAAAAAAGTTTATGCATTACTGAACATCACATCGATTAGTAGTGGTAAAAGTATTTCAGAAATAAAGTTTAGTTTGTATTTATACATTTATGAATAATTTTCTTTTCTTTTTAATTTTATAAAATAGAGATTCAGAATTGGCTCAAATTCCTTCACATTTACTTCATCATCTTAAGAATAAATTTCCACAAGTTTTAACTCGTATTATTCAATTATTATCGGATAAATTATTGGGTAATTTAACAACTAGTTCTAGTACGGCTAGTCAATTGGGTATGCCACTTCTACATATGACTAGTACAAATACTTTAGTTACTGGTGGATTAGGTTATACAACTGGTGAGAATTCCAAATTGGATGTTTTATATAGTCCATTGAATAGTGGTGTTATGACTAATCTACGTACAATCGCTGTATTACCTACTACAACTGACATTAATGCTGAGGCATTCACTTTGGAATTACAACATTCTATGAGTTCGATGGGATCATCTGTTCGTCTTACTTCAGGTACTTAATGATTTTTCTACTTCATCGTAATTTAATTTATATTGGTAAACTTGAATGGATTTCTTCTATATTTGTTGGTTTTCATGTGTTTACAAATTTATAGGTTTATTTTTGTTGTTGATAAATTGATTTCAATAAGATTTTGTGTTATCATTATTTATTGAATTTGAGTACTATTTCACGTATTTTGTTAATTTCTTTCCTGCTTAGTACGAATATCTTGTTTGGCATATTCATTTTTATAGATTCTGTTTACTTGTTGAGATGATAAATAAAACACTGGTCGATTTATAATCCTACATAATACAATGTGATTGAGTAATAAGCTCTAACGAGAATAAATCCTCTGTTTTTTTTTATTCTTCGAAACTATCTAACTTCATGGGTTATTGAGTATATTCCTTTTTCTGTTCTTTCATCCAACAAGATTGAACGCTTTATTATGAAATTATATGATAAAATAGAAATGATTAGTAGTTACTGGGCGTGTGGTCAGTTCACATGAAATGCTATCCAAAGGTTTTGAATATAGAATGAGTTTTGGAATCAGGTTTCTGTACGTCTTATTGATTCGTATACATAAAAATAGTTCTTTTCGAGAAATGTAAAGCATTCATTTTACATTATTTTATGGTAAATTTACTTACTGTTGGTCGGTACATATGTGCTATAAGACATTTGACCTAAAGCTTCAAATAGTCGGTTACTTTCCATCACGGACCGAAACTAGCTTCGGAAAACAGTTGTATCACTCAATTGTTTCATTTTCTAGCTTTAATCTCGTCGGAGGTACACAGCTATCACCCTTCTATAAATAAAACTCGCTCAATATTGGAAACTAACTTCAAACTGAGTAATATCCACATACCCCTTACATTAATATTAAAATGTTAACTGGTGACTAGCTTTGAGAATTATCGATGTTCTGGTAAAGAGCCTTGAACCATAGAGTTCACGTATATCAAGATTAGGACAGGAATTACTGATTGGGTTAAATGATACTGATGCTACGTTTCAAGTTGGCTAAATATTGGTTTCTGACTGAATGGTTTAAAAGCTTTGTGCTCCCAGCAAGACCTGTAGTCCTTGCTTTTTTTTCTGAGTTTGAGAGTGAGGATTGCTGCGGAGTTCAAAATTGGGAAAAAAGAATTATTCTGTGCTCTATGATTTTCACGGGTTCGGTAACGTATTTCAATTTATGATAATGGCCAAATTAAAAATGAAATATCCCTAAGGAATTACTTACTGTTTGAAAATTTAGAACTTTAGTGTATTTTGATGTATAAATCCGAATACTATTTTTCGGGCCTTATTCAATTTACTTATCATACCCAACCCAGTAGCTGTGTATGATTACTTAATAGGTTTATTCTCAAGTTTCGAATTCTATGCGTAAGTTACAGAAACAATTATTTCTATTAAATTACATCGTTTCAGCACGCAATAAGTAATTACAATTTTTCATATCCATTCATCGTCACATAAACTAAATATTTAGGTATTTATTGACATTATATTTAACATTCCTTTCAATGACTAAAAAGTTATTTAGAACTTTATATGCTAACATCAATATCCATCATTTATACATAAGATTATAATTAATTATTTTCAATAAATGTATTCAATAATCTGAAACTTTTTGTGTTATGATATGATTTTTCATTTTACTTTCTATTAAATTATGTTCTGTGTTATTCGATATATGTATGTAATATATATTTATTTATAGTAATGTACAAATGTTTACAACATAACTGTGTGCATAGTTTAACACTTTCTTATCAGTTAGTGATCATATCACAAGTTATCAATATTCACGTGGGACGTATATATATATATATATATATATTCAGTGATATTTACATTAACTCGTCTTACACGCGTATTGTTTTTGTCATTTTTCACATCATTCGAGCAACGATAATACGTAGAATACCATTGTTTGTTTTTCCAAAGGTCATATTCTATTGATAAACATTGATTGTGGGTTTTTTTTATAGTTTATACAAAATTGAAAGTAATGATTTTGTAACGAGAACAATGCTTTTGGAATTAAGAAGTTTGAACGATTACACGTAGTGCATTTAATTCATTTTTCCTCTCCACCGATTGTAGCCCAATTTTATAATCACATAATATATAGTTGTCCGTCCTTAACGGATTTTACTAAATATAAACCTAGTTTTCTTCCACTGAACATATTCTAGGTTAACTCTAATTTAGAACTTGTACAAAGATGTTGCCTAATAGTTGAAGAATTCAACCAATAGGTCTGAAGCTCGAATCTTGTTTGTTTATAATTGATTGTTATTGTTATAGTATAGCCTACTTTAGTACTTTTGAACGAGATTGTAAATTCTTAAGGAGGGACATTGGTGGTAATTCACTTAATTTCTGGTTGTCATCAAATATCAATATCACACTAATCAAATTTCTAAAATTATTAATTTGTTCTTGGAAAATGTTATAATTCTATTCAAAAAATTAAATGTATCCTCTGTAAACTTTCGATGTTTTTTTTTCGCAGTTGTCACCTATTTAAGAACATGTATTTTTCTTGAGTAATTAAAATAAGATTACACTAGCTTAATTTAAATTGAATATTTCTGTTATCTCTTTGGTATTTTAATCATTTGTCCTTCACTAAAAATAAATCCAATTAGATTACTTAATATTCTACTGATTATTTCCATATTCTACACATCGATTTTTTTATTAAATTTTATAACCAATGAAATAAGACGGATTTGTCCCTAGTTTGCGTTTTTTGATTATATTTCGTTCTCTCTTTCTCTTTCTCACAATTGCTATGAATAATCTGTAAAAGATTAAGTGACCACATTAAGACTCTAACTATACTGATTCGTTTTTTTTTATAATTACGATTGCGTGTATTTATTTGTTTAATTTTTAAGTTCTTAGTTAAAAAAAATTATACCCATGATAAACTAGAATAAAACACTTTAACATTGGTTATCATCCATATTGTCGTCATTATTATGAGTATGGTCATTCGTAGCATCTTAATTGATTTTAGGCAGTTGAAGGCATTCAAGAAAATTTTAAGGATTTAGATTTAATACTAATTGTAACTCATCGATATGGTGTATCTGAAATGTTAAAAGGATTGTTGTTCCCTGTTAGATTTGAACCTATCTTACTGAGTGCCAAAATCATTGATGAAACTACTGATATAATCTGGCTGTAATTGAATTGCTGTAGTAGGCCACTAGTTAGTCTCCTAGGTGTGGGGAGTCATGTACCATGAAAAACATCAGTTTTTACAAAATTAGAGATACTCCTTGCTGGCAAATACCAACTAGTCTGAAACTAAGGTTTATCTCTTCGAACTGATTTCCCCTAATTGTCTAACGCTAAATAAAGTACAATTCAATATGAGACACATTGGTTAATGTTGACATTTCTACTTGATCAGTAGCCACTCTATAAACTGCTAACAGTATATAATAGTGCATTGGTTACTTTTTAGTGATCAATTTGTGTATCGCCCTTTCCTAATAATATTATTTGGCGACATAGGTACCCAATAAAAATGATACATAAACTGTCATAAACCCGACAAACGAATGTTATTTTGCTTAATTCTTCTAACAACTTTGTTTAAACTAATATCTTTGCTTTTTGTTGTTTTGTACATAGATATCGTACTGAAACGTTTAGGTTCATGCGCATTCGATAGCGTTAGCCAGTATAGACTTAGTACTTGGTTAAGTCATCAAGAAGACTCACATCGTATTGTTTTCTTTGTTTGTGACTGTCAGCGAGTTTCAGCCTGGAATCGTATATGCATTCGTCAAGCTGACTGCATTTTGGTTTTAGCTTTGCATTCGTCTGATCCAGCGCGTCCCTCACCAATAGAGATGGCATTAAAAAATGACCCAACAAAGGTGAGTCCGCTTTTTATGTAGTGTAATGCTGGTTACTTGTACGTTTTTCATGGAAATAAAAAACATCCTATTTGTTGTTTTTCCTTTACATAGGTTGCCAAAGTGCTTATTCTTATGTATCCTTTAGATACAGATTATACAGAATCCGGTAAAACTGCAGTATGGTTAAATGCTCGACCATGGATTAGTCAACATTATCATATACGTTGTGAACCTCGTGTATTTATACCTCGTTCAAAGTTGAATCTCATCAATTTTTATACTCAAGTATTTGCTCGTGAAAAACCTAATCCACTATCTGATTTCTCTCGTCTTGCTCGTTACATAGTAGGTGAAGCTGTTGGTCTTGTTCTAGGCGGTGGAGGAGCAAGAGGCTGTTCACATGTTGGACTGATACGTGCTTTTCAAGTGAGCAATTGCTTTTTTATAAATTTTGATAACATATACGTATGCCTTACACTTCAGTAGTAATGTTAATAACTGGATTGTATTTGTAAAATCTAGTAACTACTTTGTTTATGTTGAAATTCTTTTTTTAAGAAATACTACTACGGTTGCTACGAATAACTGGAGATGTAATGTTTCAGTAAATAAGTACAAAAATAAATTATTTGGTCAGTAAAAATAATTTTAAAGTTTTCGCTTAGTTTAAGCTTTTTCAGAAATACCTATGAAAATGTGTTACTTCTCATTGTATCACAGGCTAAGAAATAGTTTCGTATTTCCATCTACATTGTAAATTTACAATATTCCGTCTTTTAATAATATATCAAAAATCAAAGCAATAAAGTCTTTAAAAATGGTGCAAGTTTATATTCTGTTGAGAAACCAATGTTCTGTTTTTCAAACACTTCTAAAGCTTATGGTGTGTAAGTAGCTGTCTAATATTTCTCTTGTTAGTAACTGATTAATGTAAATAACAATAAAAATAGATAGGGGATATATTGATATTTTAATGAATTGGTAGAAGATTAAAACGAACTTATTCTCGCCATTTGCATCAATCATTCATGGATTTTAATTTAACAATTTCTTGTAGAGCCCTGTAATTACTCTGGATTACGATTTGATTAGTATTACAAATTATTTGTACCAATACACATGTGCATATATTAGATTTATGTTTTAAAACCGATGAATTCAGTATCATGTAATTGGTTCATGTCTTTTTAGTCTGTTCTTACAAATGTAACCACAGTGAACAAACGTAGTCGTCACATAAAAGATGTCGAAGTCTGTTTTCATCACCTCAGCCTGAAATTATTGAAAAAACCAAGAATGTCAGACAGTTTATTTCGTCTTAGTTTGAAACTTTTAAGTAGTAGACATCCACGATTTCACACGGAATCAAATCATCCAAGATCTCACGGCGGGAATGGTACTATCACGTCAGTGATTCGAAACCCATTAGTCTATATTTACAACTTTACTTATTGAATAACAATCATGTGTTCCTTATTATTATTTGAACACATATATATTGGTACAGGAGTGCGCCAAATATATATGCGCCACACAAAACAATGAGAATATAAGAAAAAAAAATGAGGAACGTAAAAAAACAATAATGAAGAGATTGGTGTAAGGGAATGTAGTAATAATCATAGTCATAATGGGGGAACGGAAAAGTAAAATCAGAACAAATCTTTCAGTTAAGGAAGAAACAACCACTTTTAGGAAGAAAGTCAAAGGTTACAGCAGGATCGCCACTGGCTTCTATTCTGAGCCATATCTGATAACGTCTCTAGCCACTGTGTAGCACCATCTCTCGGACCCCAACCAGGGAGTCGTGAAGGACCGACACAAGCCAGTCCTTTGCAGCTTTCTTTCATACCACGACACCATGTCATATACTGACCACCTCTCCGCTCTTCCCAACCAGTCCCAGAGTCGGCAAATAATGCACGACGTGGAATTCTCTGGGACGACATTCGTAGAACATGTCCAAGCCACCGAAGTCGGTGTTTCAAGATGGTGACACCAATTGCATTATCATCTCTGTGCCCGAACACACGATGCCGAACCTCTGCATTACTGACATGGTGTTGCCACTGAATGTCAGCAATCCTTCGGAGACAGCGATGATCGAACACAGAGAGTCGTCTAACGTCCTCAACTCGGAGAGGCCAGGTTTCACAAGCATAGAGCAAAACTGCTCTCACCGACGCGTTGTAGATCCGACCTTTTACAGCCAGACTAACATCACGAAGGCGCCAAAGGTGGCCCAGATTGGCATAAGCCGCTCTGGCTTTCACTATACGTGCATTGATCTCATCACTCACCACCACCAGCACTTATGCAGCTACCCAGATACACGAACTTCTCGACTACGTCTATCTGCTCACCATCCAGGGTGAGTACAGGATTAGAATCCTGCCAGTCTTGTAGAAGTACTTTGCACTTCGAAGGTGCAAAGCACATACCATACCTACGGACACTGATTGCCAACTGATTAAGTGCGGATTGCATGCCTTGGGCATTATCGCACAGTAAGACAATATCGTCCGCATACTCAAGGTCGAGAAGTCTTTCTCCAGGCAACAGATCCACACCACCATTACTTACATTCATCAGAGCTGTTTCCAGAATGTCATCGATGGCAAAGTTGAAGAGGAATGGTGAGATTGGGCAACCCTGCCTAACCCCACTGCTCGAATGGAACAATGGAGAGAGGTGTTTGTATATAGGGCTTTTAGGATGTTAATAAACTTCTCAGGCACACCCTTCTTCAATAGACAATCCCAGAGAACAGTCCTGTCCAACGAATCGAAGGCAGCCCTGATGTCAAGAAACACTACGATTGTTGGCCTTTGATAAGTATGGCGGTGTTCTAACATTTGGCGGAGGGTGAAGATATGATCAATACATCCTCGACCAGAACGAAACCCAGCCTGCTCCTCGCGAGTCAATCTTTCTCGGGTTTTGAACAACCTACGAAGTATGACGGAAGCCAATAGCTTGGACGCAATCGGAAGTAGACTTATCCCCCGATAGTTGTTACAGGAACGACGTGAACCCTTTTTAAAGATAGGGACAACTATCGACTCATTCCATGACGTTGGTACACTCTCTAGTTCCCAAACCTTTGTAAACAACGTCGTCAATTCCTTAGTCAAAAAGTCACCACCATCTTTAAAAAGAGCCGGAGGTAAGTCATCTGGGCCAGGTGATTTGTAACGCTTCAAGAGTTGGAGTTCCTTGCGGACTTCCTCCTCGTTTGGTGGATCAGTCGTCACCGGCCATGGAGGGCAGGACAGTCTGACCGATGTTGCCGGAGCAGCAGGCCAGTTGAACTGCCCTTCGAAAAATTCTGCCCATCGTCCAAGACGTCGATGGATGTTAGTGATTGGCATCCCATCATCCTCGCAGATTGTTTCACTCACACCAGACTTCTTGCTGCCAGTGGCTCGGATGAGCTGGAAGAGCTTCCGGTAGTTACCAGATGCAGCTGCTGCTTCCAGCTCATTAGCACGCATCGACCACCAGGCTTCTCGGTCCTTACGCAAGCTTTGCCCAATTTCCTTACGTAACATCCTTCGTTTATGGTCAAACTCACGGTCACCCGGAGTAGACCGACGGGCTTCAATGAGTTGTAAGGAACCAGAAGAAACCCAGTGCTTAAAAGCGGGACGTTTCGCAAACCCACAACTGACTGTTCCCGCCATTTTCATGGCGTCATGCAATTGCAACCAATGCTCATCTATACTTTTCGGTGGAGTGGTAGCTAGCCTAGAGGCTAGCTCGGTTCGATACTTACTTGCAACAGAAGTTGCAACCAGCTTGCTAACATCAATCCGTTGATGGCGGTCACTTCGTTGTCCACTGAAAAGTAAGGCAAGATTGGCGCAGACCAAGGCATGGTCAGAGTCCAGATAGGTACTCCAAAAGGAGCGGCAGTCTTGTACACAACCACGCCAGCGGTAGCTGATCGCGATGTGATCAATCTGAGTCCAGGCTTGAGATGCAGAGGGAGGACGCCAGGTGGCACATCGGCGATGACTGTGCCGAAAGTTAGTGCTAGCCAGAAACAGGTTGTGGTCTGTGCAAAGTTGCAGTAGACGGTCCCCGTTATCTGACCTGCGACCAACGAGTCCCCATCGGCCACCTAAACGACTCTCTTCTGTGCCTAGACGCCCGACCTGAGCATTCAAGTCTCCGGCTAGTACTACAATATCTGTCGAACGCACTTTCTGGAGAAGAACAGTTAACTGGTGGTAAAACTCATCCTTGATTGCATCCGGGCTGCAATCTGTCGGGGCATAGGCGGAGATGACGAAAAGACATCGTTTCTCACGCCGATTTCTTCTCACTTTGATGGAACTTTCTAATCTAACAGCACATAACCGACTGTTAATGGGGATCCAATCGACTAGTGCTGCCTCAGCTCTAGCGCTTAGTGCGACACCAACGCCAGCAAGACCAGACGAAGATGCCACAGGGTCCCCGGATAAGCGCACGTAAAACAAGCTTTTCGAAGCGACAGATGGAGATCGAATTTGTAGTACTTCGCCAGAGTCTTGAATACGGGTCTCGGATAGACAACAAACATCAATATTAAGACTTTCCAAAGACATAGCCAGCCCTATCTGTTGTCCGACCTGCATAAATGTGCGAACGTTGAAGGCAGCCAGTTTGAATGGTGCACGTGGTTTCAGAAAAACTGCTTCAGTCCTCGTATTCGGTGGTAACATACAATTTTCAACCGGACAGTGACTCGAGAACGTTTAGATACAGTCGAATTTTCACCATAGACGAGCTGCTGTATAAGTCGAAAAATAAGGATAGACAGAGTAGGAATAAAAGAGGGTGAATAATGACGTAGTAAATAATAATAATAATAATAATAATAATAATAATAGCAATAATAATAATTGAATCATTTGAATGTTCGTCGAAGCCAGAGAATTAGTTTCCATGATCATAGACAGTTCAGTTCATTAATTGCGTGTTGGCTGCGATACTGCCCGGGTGCCCAGACCGAAGCAGGTGGTTATCTTAGGGAGCCACACCCCGAGCCTTTGACCTAAAGGTCTAACCCACAAGGCAGTGGAGCATCGTAAGGAGATGCAGTCCCATGGTAGCCGGTGACCGAAAATTGGTTCATACGCCATTTGTTCCCACAGGATACTGGTGCCCATGTGCACCATTGATTTGGAATCCGGTTAAAGCGCCGGACATTCGCTTTTCGTCCTCTCATTTTCGTAAACAACAGTAGTGCCACGAGAAGGCAGTGAGTAGGACTTCTCTGGCAGAGGCTGTATACGCGTGGTCGTGTGAGAGTATTTCTAGAGGGAGGGCGAACCCATCCCGCTCTCGGCCATACCAGAGCATTTGGATTCCACGAAGATGTTGATATATGTATATCTATAATGTATATATTTGCATTCAATATAAAATAGGTAGCTTATTAAATATTGTATTTTTACTTTTGTATCAATTTGATATTTGACTGATGTTGCATTAAGATTTTTCTAAAACTATTCATTATCATACAATTTGTTTTTTTGATCTTAAATATGACATTTATAATAATGGTAGGATATTTCTGTTTTTTACATTATATGATAAAAATTCATCAGTATCATCCTTTTCATTGACATCTACTGAGTTAAAATACATCATAGATAAGCTATAAATATTATTAACTAAATAAATCATATTTAGTGGTATAGTTTTAATGATATTGTTTATTGTAGTAAATTATCAATCTATTATTCTTAATTACCTATTAATATCTAAATTGTACGGGGAATCATTAAACTTTTTACTTGTAAGATTGTACAGGTAACTGTGTGACTTTTTTCTATTTAGATATGATATTTATTTTTGAAGATATTTTATTTTTTAGAGGGATATTTAAATACTCGTAAAAACTGAATTATTTGTTACCGTATTGGGGTTTGTGTAATACACATAGGTATGGTTATTTATAGTCTTATACAATTTGCTAGTCGAAGTCAGAGACTTCAGAAGAAAACTAAATTGAAATTCTTGAGTGAAATAACATTTTTCAATGATATATGATGATCTCGTTTCTGTATAAAGCAAACTTCACTTAAAAATTGATAACCATATGACCGTAGAAAACCTGTACTAAAATTATAGTATTACTTATGATATGAGCGGTATAATTATTGTTTTGACTTATCATTAAACATGTTTAAAGTTTGTAAGCGTCACGTTTTGTTATTATAATATGTTTTCGATAAATTTCGCTTTAATTAAACAGGAAGCTGGGATTCCAATTGATTTAATTGGTGGTACAAGTATTGGCTCTTTTATGGGTGCTTTATGGGCTGATGAAACTCGTGTTGCACAGTTTACTCAAAGAGCTAGAAATTTCACTAACTGTTTCAATTCTATATGGAAAAAAATAAAAGACTTCACTTATCCTGCAGTGTCGATTTTTTCTGGTAAGAACCTGAATTATATATATATTACAGTAATATTTACATGGATACTTATAAATATTGGGTCAATCAAGACATTTTATGGGGTTGTTAGGCTTTTACTGTGTGCATCATGGATTGATCGCTATTGAAAAACAGGTATCATTGGACTGAGGTGTCGTTCTAGTATAGGATTCTCCAGTAGTGCTCATCCCCGACCCAAACAGAGGTCGAACCTAGGGCCTTCGATCTCACGTCGTCCATCGCTTTTTAATTTTTTAATAGTGGTCTAACTAAAATCAGTTCGTGTTGTAAACTGTGCGAACAAAATTATTAGAAAAGCGATACTGCAGAGATAAAGAAAAAATAAGCTATGTGAAAATGTTTAGGGTTCTTTATTATGTCTTACTCAGCTAAACATGAGACAGGACTATTACCAATTCCTCTCTCATACAGAAGTTAGGATTCTTATTCCTAATCCCTGTGATTTCTGCTATATTTGACAGGTGATATCGAACCACACTATTGAGACTTGAAAGTGTACGATAAATCTCTATGAATGCTTTGTTTCTGTCTTCACCTTGACCACTATAGACCATATTAAATGGGACAGAATTGTGAATTGTTCTTTTCAGACCCTTTATAAACCACAATTGAAGATTGTCTGATCGTAAACACAACATAGTTTTGTCCCCAGAAGCAGATGAATTCGTAAATGCATACACATGTGGCAAAACCAACTAACTTCATTTGTGGAACCTTCATAGGTCAACCAGAAAATGACAAATAGATGTTAACTGTATTGAAAACCCTTTTCACTGCTCTAGCTTGTTTATTATGCCACACATCTCTAGCTATGTCTCCGTCGAATTTTAGCTTTATATTAGCAAAACGAAAGACAATTGATAAACATTCATATCTATAATAATATAAATCCATTTGTGTTTGTTATGTATAGCATTATTTTATTGTATGCCTAACTAAATTTCTTATATTGGTGGTATACTTGTACTATTTCCTAAAATATGCTTACTATGTGTACACAGTAGTTAAATAGCAGTTTTATTTTTTTCATATTATTTACACAGAATCAGTAAATAAAATTAACTGTGGTTTAAACTTCCTTAGGCTAAAATGTATATATGTACGGATTACTTCGTTTATATAGAAAATTATATTCTTACCATATCAGTTAAATAATTATTTCGTATTATTGATAATTTTAATATCATGTGTTGCAGATTATTTATTTATTATTTATTTATTTGAACACATAAATATTGGTATAAAAGGCACCAACCAGTCCCAGCGTCGGCAAATAATCCACGACGTGGAATTCTCTGGGACGACATTCGTAGAACATGTCTAAGCCACCGAAGTTGGCGTTTCAAGATGGTGACACCAATTGCATTATCGTCTCACACGACGCCGAGCCTCTGCATTACTAACATGGTGTTGCCACTGGATGTCAGCAATCCTTCGGAGACAACGTTGATCAAACACAGAGAGTCATGTAACATCGTCAACTTGGAGAGGCCAGGTTCCACAAGCATAGAGCAAAACTTCTCTCACCGATGCGTTGTAAATCCGACCTTTTGCAGCCAGACTGACATCACGAAGGCGCCAAAGATGGCCCAGATTGGCATAAGCCGCTCTGGCTTTCACTATACATGCATTGACCTCATCACTCACGTCAATACCAGCACTTGTGTAGCTACCCAGATACACGAACTTCTCGACTACTTCTATCTGCTCACCATTCAGGGTGAGTGCAGGATCAGGATCCTGTCAGTCTTGTAAAAGTAGTTTGCACTTCGAAGGTGCAAAGCACCTACCGTACCTACGGACACTGATTGCCAACTGATTAAGTGTGGATTGCATGGCTTGGACAGAGGATTGAATATACGATTTTTATATGTTATTTTAAAGAATTAATTTTTATCCAATTGGTTAAATAAAGAATTTCATTCATTCAACGATTAAATTATGTTTGCAAAATATTTTGTTTATCAAGTATAAACTATTAATACAATATGTTAAAAGCGTAATATATTCCATACTATCTATAATCATAATGTTAACTATCGTCTAATATAATTAAGTGCAGAATGTTTCGATTTCTTTTCCTTTTAGATAACAATAGTTATTAATAAATAGTACTTTGATTTCATTTCATATTGAATCATTTTATACACTTAGTAAAATGTATTTGATTGCGAATAAATCAGTATATTAGCCTGTATACTGTTGAAGAGAAAGCAATTAAGTGGGATAAATTAATTCTATTCTGTAAATATTTCTGCTCTTGTTTTTTTGTGTGGAGAGAATCAATTGCTTGGGTTTGGATATGTGTTTCATACATTCAGTTACCTATCTATGTTAATACATTACTCATTAACTGGAATATGTCTAATTTTCGACAAGCATCCAGGGCCTAGCGGCCAGTATTCTGCGATAAAATCATTATTTGCTTATTCTAGCCTGTGCCAACATTCTATACAGAATCCACACTAACATCGTAATATACGGGTTAAGACGTTAGGTAGCACGTGGTCCAAAAACCAGTCGTATCCATGCACTTAAATTCTTTATTTATCTTAGTTGAAATTTTGGGTTGATTGCCATTCCATAATTTTCATTCTTCAGTTTTATTCATCGATTTCGTCCTATAATGTTTAGATTTAGTTTTGCATTGTGATCGATCTCATTGTTTCTGCTCATTTACTTATAATCTTGTTAATATTTTGTGTTTATATATATGTGTGTGTATTGTGCCTATACACTCTTTTATTCGATCTTACGTTATTTATGACCAAACGACTATTGAAAATCAGTTACATCTAATGAAATTAATTAATTAATCATCCTTATATGTTATTTTTCTATCTTGACTCTTAGTGAATAGCTGGATCCGTAAAACAAGGAGATTTCTCTTATTATTTGCTATTTTTTTTATGTTATCGTTTGTGAAATCTTGAACTGCTAGCCTTTTTTAAGAGTTAAAAGTGAATTTCCTGGTTATTCTTGTAAGATATCAGCGTTTTGATACATCGTTACACTTATTCGCTTTGTGATTTGTTTTTCAATGTAGTTAGTATTTTAATCAAATTAGTATTGCTTATGTATATTAATTAAAGTAAGTAATTTCAATTAGACTGTTTATTAGTTACAAAATTAATGAAATATATTCATTGTTTCTTAGGCATCAATATATATTTTCTAAGTATTTTACTACTGAAGTATGTTTTCTACTTGATATTTTTGTGATCTTCGTAATGTACATTGAATTCTTTGAAGTTGGGAATATAAATCATAGTATTTCATTTTAGTGGCCTAGAGGTATCACGTTCTCCAAGAGACCCAAATTTCTTGTGCATTTATTATTTTCAAACATTAATACTCTGTAATTTTATTTTAAATGAATTTTCTGGTGAAATATGTACGTTCACTTGCATAGTTCATGAATATAACAAATTACAATCTTAATATTATTCAAAAATTTAAAGCAATTAGTCCCTTTTATAAGAAGACGGAGTTGATCTGAAAAATGTGATGTATTTGCGCTATACATTTCGAACAATCTGGTCACACATATACTTGTCAAGGCATTTTTATATGAAAATTAATAAAGGTCAAACAAACAAAAGTACAATTAAAATAACTAAGGGGGGAGAAAGAATAAGAATTTGTCGCGTTATCCTAGGCCATAGAATGACTTAAGCATTACCAAGGTAAATTCAAGGTTACGACAAATTGTTTTTGTACACATAAGGGGGGTTTAAATTTACGAATAGCTAAGGCTTCAATAAACTTAAGAATTCGAACTTGACAATTTCTATACAACGTTCTAAATGCTGTATTAATGTTAATTTTGTGTCCCGTCTCAATTATGTGTTTTGCTATCGATGAACTTGGTTTTCTACCTCCTACATTAATCGGATCATTTGACACACACTGATTTTGAAGCCATCTGGGCACATGTTCATTGACCCTTGATTGGATTGTTCGATTACTCCTCCCTATGTATGTGTGTCCACACAAACATGTAAATTGGTAAATACAATGGGATGTGACGTAATCATTAGTGCATTGTTTGGGTCTATTAGGAATCATGGCCTTAGACTTTTCAGTCACTACCAACTGAGCAGCACAATACGTATTCTCGATGGCTGCTTTCAATCTCTGCCTTAAAACTATACTGTTTGATTCGCCTCTATATGGTAGATTGATATAGACCTTTTTCTTTGGCACTGAATAAATTAGAGGTCTTGGCATTAACTGACTTTTGCACCTATTAATAAACTTGAGTGGATAACCATTTGCTATTAAAGTGTCAGTCAGTAACTTTTCATCGTTTTCCACCATATCAGAGGTACATATTCTTCGAGTCCTCTTAAAGAGGCACTTAACTAGACCTCTCTTGTATTGCAATGGACAAAAACTATGGAAATTTAAGTATTGTCCCGTCCAAGTTGGTTTCCTGTACACGGACCGTCTAATAGTGCCATCATCCCTTCGACTTAAGAGTATGTCTAGAAAGGCTAGTTGGCCATTACTTTCTGATTCATGTGTCATCACAATATCGTTCTGAACACCATTGAGTTTATCCAGTAATCGGTAAACATCAAAATCCTTATCACATATAATTAGAATATCATCCATATATCTTCTATATAGAGTTGTCTCACCAATGAGGTCGCTCGTCATATTTTCCACATATGACATGAATACCTCAGCTAAGAGAGGCCCTAAAGGGCTACACATTATTCAGTAAATTCTACAAAGTCAAGAGATCTCTTACCCTCAGAAATAGTTTAAAGAGGTCACCTGTATCGTTTACTTCTCTATTTATACGTTTATTGTCATTATTTTAATAGGTAAAGAACTTAATCGTCAACTTCAATCGACATTTCATGACCGTCAAATTGAAGATTTTTGGCTTCCTTTCTTTTGTGTGACAACAGATATAACAAATTGTAAAATGCGTATTCATACACAAGGTAAAAATAATTTATCACATAGTAGTGATTTGTTTTGGTTATTTTTACTATTTATGTAATAATGTTTGGAAGCCATCGTGATGTAGCAGCATTTTTTTACTGACTGATTTTGAATAGAAATGTTTGTGTGTATTTTCAAACTGTCTGGTATCTGCGAATCTTCTGAATAAACACCTGTTCAAAATAAGCTATTCAAAATAATCGTATATGCTCGTTTAGTACCTTTAAAAAAAAGAAACCTACTTTTTCACTAAATGATGAATTCAGGGGCATAGGTTATCGTCCAATATGATTAGGGTTGGTATTTCTCATGACCAAGTTTATTTTGTATTCCATATAATTGATCATATTTATGAATTTGAACAAAGCTAAAAAGATAATTAAGGCTGAGTAAAGTGGATTCGTCATATTTTGTGGTCTCTCTTCAGTATAGTATAACTCAAAGTTATAGACAGTGTTCATATCTAAAGATATTTCTAAATTTAAACGCACACTTTATAGGTTAATCGAATGAACTACTTGTACTGGTACAATATATGCTTCTGAGTTTAAAGAATCACAGAAAAATCATTCCAGTTCACTCAAAAACTGCTTAATTCACTGTATTAATTCATCTGTGACACTCTTTGTATGGACATTAGTATCTGTTAATTTCTTGTTTCTTTTTGTATAATCCTGTGTATAGAAGCTCACTGATTTATTAGAAATAACTGTACTTAATATAGTAATTGTTGTGTTGTCGGTTAGTATCTCATCATAATATCTCCTTTTACTGAGAGCGCTTATTACGTTCTGAACATATTTATTGTCATCTTATCTACTGAACTTATAATTTGAGTTCTTCTCTAATAAGTTCAGTAACTGGATATGATTATGGACATCATATCGGATTAAATATATGTGAAATAAAATCATATTTAATGAATATCACATAAATCAATATATATGGTACAAATGGAAATATCTGATTTCCTTTGGACGTTTCATGAGATTCAATGAGCACTTGTGTTTATGTTTCTACGCTTAATTGGTCGTATTAGATTAATGAAATGTTGTTTTTATTATTATTTTAATTTCTACTTGTTGTTGAATTGCTTGTTTTAGAATTTCATAATTAGAATACTTGGATAAAGTAGATTCCTTAAACAGATTAAATTTCGAACAATAAAGCCTCCACTAAAGTGACATCTTTCAGCTTTACATTTACTTAGTAGGATATTGACAGATAATTCCCATCTAAACATTAAAATTAAAACACAAATTTCAGCGAAGGGATCTCTTTTCAACAAATTTATTATCAAGCTGTACAATCGTATATATATGAAAATTTTGTTTTTGTAAAAGTACTAATAAAAAGGGTTATTAGAATACGTAATACGAATAATAACAATAGATTTAGTGAATATAATAAGATGATTAAAATGTTTTTGATATAATAATTAAAGGTCATAGAGGTGTAAAAAATAAAGTGATATGATGAGCGTTCATGAATAAAACAATGAGGATATAAGACATAAAGGGGGAATGCAGCAATAATAATAGTAATAATAGTAGGATAATCAAAATAATTAAGGCCAAGGTAACAAAATTTTCATATATATACGATTGTACAGCTTGATAATGAATTCGTTGAAAAGAGATCTCTTCACTGAAATTCGTGTTTTAATTTTAGTAGGATATATCAGTAATCATATTAAATATGTTAGATTTCATAAATTTATTTTAGATGTATTTTCAATTTATTGTCCGATTAAAGACTTCCCAGCTGTTCTATGTACAAATTTTATGATTTTCCATTTCTAAATTGAATTTGAATACTTTGTGGAAGTTGACTTGTTTTCTACCACTAGGGTGATCCTTTCTCTTTCTGTTCTATAAATAGCTCTATTTGTGGATCCACATTCGTAGGAGTTTTTCAAAAGTCGTTTTTGATACTATTTTGTAGTTCCGTTCAGGATTAGTTTCTATATTTCTTATCCTACTATATTTTGTGTTTTATTCCATGTGATTTGTTTTGCCTGCTGCTCGTGGTCAATCGTAGACGTTATTAATTCACCTTTGATAAACTATGTAGATCGGTAGCCTATTTTCAAAAGAATAATAATGAATTTTTCATATCCTATTCATAACGACACTATTTAGGGTCTGTTTGGCGTTATATTCGTGGTGCTATAACATATCCACCATTGGACCCACCCATTTGTGATCCACATGATGGTGCCTTACTGGCTGACGGTAGTTTCTTGAACAATGTTCCAGGTAGTGTTGCTGTAAAACAATACCATCAAAATCGCAATTTATTTATCATAACATCAAAATCATTTCACTAATACATGGTGATTCACAAAGAGCGACATTATAATATGTAATTCAAATGAAATTTCTAATTCAGTAACAATAGATAGCATGCCCGTAAAAATGTAATCTGTTTATATTCACATATGCACAATAAATAGATGTCTAATAATTGAATCCGCTTACTAATCTTGCTATAAGAATATTGCTTTTTAACAGTGAATATCTATCTACTTATTTATGTTTATTGCCTAAAAATTAAATAGCTTTTTATTTTTTTCATTTCTTCCAATTGATTTCAATTAAACATTTGATGTTTCGAATCATTTTCATGCTTATTCACATTTTTACTTATTCATTGATTTATTAATATCTATGTATGATGTGTCCGCATACACATGATTCGTACATACACATACATGTAGGATCGTCTTGGAGATATGTACGTGCAAGCATGTCATTATCTGGTTATTTGCCACCATTATGTGATCCTTACGATGGAAGTTTATTGTTGGATGGTGGGTATACTAACAATCTACCAGGTCAGTAATTTTTCATACAATTTAAGTAATATGTTCAGTTTTAGTCGTGATCTGTAAGTTTCAAATAAGAAAATTGTAATTTAACGGTGGTTATTATTTGATTGAATTTAAAATCCAAGTGTATAAAACCAGTTAATAATAATAAATATTTATTCACTTTCTTTGAACAACTTTTTTCGTATCATATGTGATACTATCAGGAATCATAGGGCGGGACCCGAAATATCTCCTTAAATTAAATGACAACTCATACGTTACATTTGTTTTCTATAAGAATCAATTCCTAAAACGTTCTTTTACTGTTTACTAGTGATTATTATTTTCAGTAAAATGGAAATACTTCCAAACGAATATCAAACTTTGTTGATACGGTTAGTTAGACTGGATCATATGGGAATTACCTGTAGGGATGTTCTTTCGGTAGCAAAAGAACAAGCATATCCACACTATCAATCATCTTGTTCAAATATTTTCTTTAAGATAGATTTAGTAGTAGTAATATTAGTAGTCTAGTAAGTTGTTTATATATAGTTAATAAATTTGTTTTCTTTGCTTACAAAATCGGGGTGGATCTGCGTCCATTTTTAGAATGATAGTAATATGACTTGGTGTATAGCGTATGTTTGTAATAACTGATTACTTTCATCAGTTTTGTTTAATATTTGTTCTGAAGTACTATATTTGATTCAATAGCCACTACTCTAACAGACTTCAACATATTCAAGAAATGTATAATAATTCTATTTATAATCAGTAGTATCCTAATTTGAAGTAAGCCTAATGGTATCATGGGGTAACGACATGTTACATATTTTCACTATTTTACTTAGTAGACTACTAGTATCGTTCTGTTTATACCCATTTTTTTATTGGTAATTATTAACACCAAAACCCAACACATTAAATTTCGTAACTTATATGGCCTAGTTTTTTGGTGCATCTATTTTATGGTAGATATTTGTTAATACATAAATAAATTTTCAGTTGATCTGTTTGGATGAACTTGTTTAGTTTTGGATTTGAACTTGGCAGTTATGAATTATTCAGTGAATAAGATTATCATCCGCTTATGAATATAATTGCAAAAAATGACAATTCAGAGGAGATTTTGTTTTCATATGACAAAAATATGGACTTTAATATCATCAGTCATTTAAGTTCACATTTGAAGCAGAGGTGAATTTAGAATTTCTTTTCCTTGGTATCTTATTGAGAAAAAGTCAGATAGTTCCTTATAAAGGTCTATATACACTCTACTAACTTGGATGGTCAGTATATGAATTTGCAAAACTAAGTCTTGTTAAACAGAAAGAGAAACTTAATTCACTCTTTATCTTTGATGGCCGAGGTAATATGCTCCAATTACACAATAGCTGACAAACTATTTAAACTCCAACATACACTCATCATAAATGGGTGCCCATCCAGATTCATGAAACTTTTAAGGTCTAAAAAGCGCTTGTTCGTCGAATTGTTTTTAATTTTTTTCTTCAATGACACAATTGATTTGCTTCGTTAAATTTACAGAAAGTCCAAACAATATTCATCACTGGTTATCAATTTCGACAAATGATCTTTAAGAGTTTTCTGTATAAAGTTTTATTGGCATTTGGTATAGTCAGTGTGTAGCACAAATAGGTTGTAGAAATATTTCTTTGAAGATATTCTGCACTTCCAAATTAGGTTCAATTACTTGGAACAATTTGGTGATCCCGTTCAGTAGTTAGTCACTAAACAAACAAACCAATGTTTGAGCAGACAATAAATTTGGATTGATTGAAGTTAGACATTAACACTGTTAGATCTCGGCTCAGTGGTTTAGAAGTCAGGCGCTCACCGGCTCTGGGTTCGATTCCCGCGTTCGGGGTTGTGGATGCTCACTGTTTAGAGGCCCCATACTGGACAAAACCGCCGTCCAGAGCTTCAGTAGTGACCTAACATTGATCGGTTTATGACCCTAAATAAGTTCATAAATGTTTGTAACATTAATGATACATTGTTTCACCTTTATTAACTTGCTTCATTTTCATTCAACATATGTTTCGCTTCATAGTTTCTCTGATTTTACTTGGCATCCATGTTTTATTTTGTCTAGTATCATTTAACTTTACCGTCATCATCATAACCATCATCATCTTGTGCTTTGATTTGTTAGCATACTAATCGATGTTTGATTTAACGAATTCATTCCAATTGTTTAATGCTTATTTTATTGAATTCTATAGAGCAGCATATATATATAGGGTTTGCTTTGATAGAATAGACTAGAATACAGAATATTTAATTGCATGTATCATTAACCGGCATACTGGAGATATTTATTACTCTTGATATGGTTATGCATGATTTAGAGAATTATTTTTAGAAAATACCACTGTTTATTGGTGTACTACGACTTCAGAGTTCCATTTGCTAATATTTTCCTTGGTTGAGACCAATTCAGTTATTAGGACCGCTTTCGAATTACACATACCAATTATATTTACTACTACCATAATTTTCTCTCTAGCAATATTGAATTGTAAACTGCTGAATGCATTATGTTTAACATTTAAATAGTACAGAGTTAAGAATAGTGTTTATACTTTGTGTGTGGTAACAGTATTACCAGTTTTTTAACAATAGATTTAGTTTGATCGCTTAATTCGTTTTAAAAAAGTTCCATGTTCATTACTTATTTAATACCGTTTTGTTTTAATGAATTGTTTTGTTTCATTCAGCTGATGTGATGGTATGTTTCGGTGCGAAAACGATCTTTGCTAGTGATGTTGGTGCTGCTGTAGAGACAGAGCTTACAAACTATGGTGATCATTTATCTGGTTGGTATTTGTTATACAATCGATATTTCAGAATTGGCACTCCTGTACTACGTGTAAGTATCCAAATCAATCTTTTTTGAAAGCAATAAATATTTTATTCGTAAGATATTTTTTTTATTTGTCATTCGATGAATCGGAAGAAGAAATCACGTTTTGCAGTCGTGAAAGCCATTTATTGTTTTACACGTTTACATATGTTTTAAATAGTACATATCCACTTATTAATCAACATCAGGTTACCAATTACCAGTGAGCTGTTATGTCCTAGTACTGATAGATTATAACTACTACTTGCGAAAATTAACGGTAACTTAAATTCAAAAATTACACAATGATGTATTGATATCATTGAAAGTTCTAGCCTAATCCACTTCTCGCTTGTATGGTCACTTTTGACTTGAAATTTTTTCTGAAGTAATTAGAAGTAGAATTTGATAAAACCCTGATGATTTTGTTTTCAGCAAATGTTTAAGTTTGCCGTTTATTTGTAATCCTAGTAGTACTGATTTGGATTTTGAATCATATTTGGTGATATTTCAAGTCACTTAGTCATCTTATATTCTACATCCCATATACATAGTGATGTTGGATGAATAAATTGTTATTAAACTTAACAATCTTTCATTTTAGAGCACTACGTCGTACAGTGACTATTTTTACAATCGTTGCCAACGTCAGTGTACAGTGTTAAAAATATAAGTCTCAGAGACATCATTTGTCAGACATATTCACTCATCAGTTCTTATTTATTTATGGATAAAAATCAATTGTGTAGGTAACCACACGTTTGATCTCAGTGTTGTAACTAAATAAGTATGATACAGGATTCTCACTGGCTTCTATTTTGAGCCACATCTGATAGAGTCCCAAGCCACTATGTTGCATCATCTCTAAGGCTCCAATCCGGTAGTTATGAAGGGCCAACAGAAGCCAATGTTGTGCAGCTTTCTTTCATACCACGACACCATGTCATACACAGACCACCTCCCCGCTTTTCCCAAACAGTCCCAGTGTCCTCGAATAACTTATTATATGGAACTCTCTAGAAAGACATTCGTAGAACATGTCTAAGCCACCGAAGTCGAGGTTTCAAGATAGTGACACCAATTGAATTATCGTTGCTGTGGCCGAACATACGATGTCGAGCCTCTGCATTACTAACATGGTGTTACCACTGGATGTCAGCAGTCCTTCGGAGACAACGATGATCGTAACTATATTGTTCTCTATTAGACTAATTATACAGTCGTAAGTCGTTTTATATACTTCTTCATTTGCACTTTAGTTTTTAGATAGCCTAATTGAAAAACATAATCTATCATGGCCATATCTGGATAATCTATCTTAAGAAATCTAATCATAAATTTTGACGTACTCCATATTTTGTTTTTTTTGTCCGTAGACTTTGAACTCTTGTCTAATCACGTCTATCTTTCGCCTTAATATAGTAGACAACATTCCCTGAAACTTTATAGTCCCCGACCAGCTATTAGCCTTTCAGTATACCATTTCACTCCTTGTTTTTCAGTGTCATATGCTATCTATTTTTATCGGTGTTTTGTACCAATATCATCCCATAGTTAAGATATTTAAAGTAATCCTACAAAATTCAACTACCCTTCTCTCTTCAGTGCTTTACTATTTCCTCCTAAGCACTGTCGAAATTATCTATTCCATTAATTTTTAACCATTTTTTTATCTTTGGATCATAATCTCTGATAACTTTAGTCTACATCCATTTAATTGGCATCAGATTAAAACATAGTATCGGCTGATCAGTACGGTCTACTAACTTCTGACTTCATCTGTCGTTTCAACGCAAAGTTATTTTATTCATTTCTGAATTAATTAGGTGATGAGGTCATCCGTGGAATGTACTAAATATGTAGCAAATCTTATTGGTTCATGTTTTTAATGGGTATCCATATCTTGAAATTAGTAATATGCATGTTAGATTGGTTTTTCTCAGTATGTCGCATGATCCTGACAAACCTCGTTTTGTTATTCCGTTATCCATATTTATCCAAAAGTTACAATTTCTTCGAGATTTTTATGTATACTTTTCACTGACATACCATAAACATATAGACTTTCACCATAGTGTAATTTACATAAATATTCGCGAATGTTTGAGCGAATCGTTTGACGGAAATTGGACATCGCATATATAGAAGAAATTATTTGTAAATATTATATTTACCATATCTGGAAAAGTTCGGGGTAGTAGTTGAAGTGGCCCCCTAAGAAAACCACCTGCTTCGGTTTGGGCACCCGGGCAGTATCACAGCCCACACACAAAGTGTGGCGCATATATATTGGCGCTCTCTTGTACCAATATTCATGTGTCCAAATAAATAAATAAATAAGTAGTTGAAATCAAAATTAGGAAAGAGTATTCAACTTTTAACACTTAAATGTAAACTAAAAGTTTATCTTATCATATTCATATGTTAGCTTTATGAAATAATAAAATATGAGTTTGTAAGATGTGAATATTGTGAAAAGTTCACAATGTGAAAAATAATGAATATGTGTTCTTTTATGTTATTAATAGTTAATATTTAGTGAATAAATCCAGTCTCTGTGTACTACCAATGACATGTTCATTTTGTTTATTAAAATAAAACTACTAGTACAAATTGAAAGATGTTTTTAAAACTTGAATGTGTATGTAAAGGGATAAACGTAAGATACATAGTTGTGATGTAAAAAGATTCAAATTAGTTTGATATACACTAGGTGGGTTGTAATAAGGTTCAAATTACTTATTACTAAGCATTTCCCAAGGGTTGGTTAGTTGAATTCCATCTTTTCTATTCAGGCTGTACTGGTTAGCCTAAATGTACAGAGCTCTTTCTGTTAGTATGCAACACACATGTTTCTACCGACTTATCTCATCGATATAATTGAAGTGCAGTTGAATGGTTGCCATATAATCACATGTGTTTTCTGTGAGGACTATGTAAGCATTAACTCAAATACTTGAAGCAAAGCTTAATAAGGAATTAATTTATTCATTATACATCATAAAAATATATTCGATAGCGTATCAGTCGTGTAAAGAAAGTCAATAATTTGAAGGAAATCATTTTATATAAGATTAGTTTTAAACTGTAAATGCAGCTAGTGAAAACTCATTTGGTGGAGTTTTGTTCTCTGAGCTGGATGGTTTGGTCGTGGAGCTTTCATCGTTCTTCTGAACGACATCATCAGCACAAACTTCAGCTAGAAGTGAAGTGTTTGAATTTCTCCATATGTGTCTCAAAGCTTGTTCTGTGCAGCTCGACGTTGATTGGTTCTTATTGACCTTAAATTTGTCGTTGTTTACTTCTTTGTTTTGGTTGTGTCTCCCATTGTTTTGATTTTTGTTCTTATGTTTGTGCATGATTTTTCTGATTGGTTGATAAATTGGATTGATTTCAATATGCTTGTTGATTGCTGATTGACCTGAGTTACAGGCTTCTAAAAATTCTCTGGTGTTTTTGGAATTTCCTCTGTCCAAGATTTCCAAATTTTTCCAATCGAATGAGTGTCCGCAGTTGTCCACGTGTATTGATATAAGGGAAGAGATATCATGCCGTTTGACTGCTAATTGATGTTCATGTAGGCGAAGGTGAAGGGGGCGTCCGCTTTGTCCGATGTAGTGTTTTTCGCAGTTGGCCAACTGCTACAAATCTTCTCCACCATCTCAAAACTCATTTGGTATAACTTAACTCAGTTGTATACTCATTCATCTTCAGCTTTACATTTTTATCTGTCTACCCTCATAACTTTCATTTCTTATGTATAACCTTCGAATCAGAAATTTTCTAAATATTCTTAACATTTTGTCCTGATACGCTATCTTAATCCCATTTTACCTGTATTTAATCTAACTTGTATATTTTTTCCTTCTACGATATTTTAGGTCTGTTTTAGTGTATGTTCTTCAGCCCGCTTATATTATACAAATTATTAAAAACACTAAACGTCAACATAACTGTTATTGTAAAATAAACTTCCTATTAATTACTTATTTATTCTATGACGTCCATTTCGATAGTGGAATCATGTCATAACTTGCGACTCTTGATCAGCTAGCTACCTAATGATACGTATATACAGACAAATAGATGGTGTAGCGATGGGTTCACCCCTGGGTCCTATATTAGCAGGCATCTTCCTTTCTAAACTAGAAAACGGCCCGCTAGCACAAGAGATCGATAAGTTTTCGTTTTACTGTCGATATATGGATGATACATTTATCCTTTGCAACAACCAGACAGACTTCCTAAAAACATTCGATCGATTCAATACCGTTCACCCGTCCATAAAATTCACATGGGAGAAGGAAAATGAGGGTAGAATAGCCTTTATAGATGTTCTACTTACAAGGAAAAAGGACGGGTCGCTAGAAAGAAACATAAACAGGGAAATTACCTGGACGGGTAAATATACTAACTTTCTTAGTTTTGTTCCTCTACAACAAAAAAGGAACCTTATTAAGACACTACATCATAGAATCAAGACTATATGCACTGTGGATGCGATTGAAGATGAAACAAAGGCATTATTCAAAACCCTGAAGGAAAATGGATATCCTGAGAAATTTATAAATAAAAACATAGCCAATAAAAGACAGCGTAGAGAATGTCTAACGGTAAATAAAAAGCCTCTATATATACGCTTACAATTCAGAGGCGACGCACCGAGCGAAATGCTAAGACTCAAGTTAAGCAGATCAATTCAAAGGACTTTTAATGCGGCTAAACTACAACTAGTATTCGCCACACGACCAATAATCACTCCAAGGTTGAAAGATAAATTACCTAGACTAGCCACTCCTTCTGTATTTATCAATTCAACTGCTCCTGTGGAGCAAGTTATATTGGCAGATGTTCTTGGAATTTGTACATTCGGGCTCGTGAGCATCTACCCGTGTGGTTAAGCAAAGGTGTTGTCAAAACTGTTAGCAGCTCCATTATAGACCATCTAGTCCAAACAGGACATACAGCCAACATGGAGCAATCTTTTACAATAATCTATTGTGTTAAGAGCAGTCTACCTAATTCCGTCAGACGGCTGAAGCAATTGCTATTCGGATCAAAAAGCCAGAGCTTTGTATCCAAAAAAGTATGTTCAGCCACTCCTTTTACCCTGGCCAAGTCTGGGGCCAACTAGCTAATAATCAGTCTTATAATGTGGTGACGTAATCTGATTAATGTTCATTTTATGTCCCAAACTTATTATTATTATTACTGTTATTATTATTATTATTATTATTATTATTATTATTATTATTATTATTATTATTATTATTATTATTATTATTATTATTGTCTTTACACTTGATAATCTTTTTTGAGGAATTTATTCAATATCCACCCCTGAATCTACTATGTTTGACCTAATTCATATTATTTTACATATTACGTAATTTCCGATTTCTGATCACAATATTCTCTCTCTCTCTCTCTTACCCCATGTTGACCATATTTATTTTGATAATTTATTTCACAATTTCATTTCGCTTATAAAATGATTCAAGTTAACGCTTCATATTAGTCAGCCCCAACATTAACGATTTGATTTGATTTGATATAACAAACAATTTTGCCGTTGTTGTTATTGTTCAAACTGTAGATCCCAAGTCTAACAGAAATTCAGGCTCGTCTAGCTTATATTTCTTGTGTACGACAATTGGAATATATAAAGGCCAGTGGTATATGTTTTTATCTTCGACCACCGGTTGATAAGTATCTAACTCTTCAGTTCTCTGCGTTTGATGAAATAGCTGTGAGTTATTTGCTTCTATGTTATTATCACCATTATTATTATTATCATGAGTATTTAGTTGTGTGAATTTCGTATTAATGAACTTAAGTATTATATATATATATATATATATATATATATAAACACAATCTCAGTTTAAGATGCAATTCATGCAAATCATAAATCATATTATCATAACGGGGTTTTCTGGAGATTGTAGTAATTTAATATTATCGGAAGCCGTGATCAGTGGAGTTCAATCGTGTCGGGTGTGAGGCATTTACCCACCGAAGACAATGGAAGATGGTCGGGCAATATCGTGGATTGATTGAAGTTAAACATTAACACCGTTGGATACCGTCTCTGCAGTCTAAAGGTTAAGCGCTCGCGTGCGAGACCGGGGGTCCTGGGTTCGAATCCGGCGAGCGGGATCGTGGATACGCACTTCTGAGAAGTCCCAGTACTCCCAGGTTTTCCATGGTGGTTAAGCTTCAATTGACTCATGATCTCAACTATTGATATTAAATTATAAATTATTTATTTACATGTATGATATTCCTTTCTCATAGTGAGATTATATCCTCATATGTGTTCTCTTATTATCTCTGTTTGATGCTAAGAGGTGACTTTGATCTTCCAGAAATTTTAGAAAACACTAAATTTGGTCACAGAAATAGTTATTATCCAGTCAAATTGTAATACATGATTCTTACTTTTTCCGGATGCTACTAGGATTTTTCAGTATTTGAAATTTTATTTTTGTTTAAATGTTCATTCCAAAGTGCTTTCTTTCATGTATCAATGTTAAAATATTTCTACTCCCAACCGATTCATCATAAGAAAATAAATCTGTTGTTTACTATCACTGCGAGGTTTCATTATTTATCGTAAGGATCGTTCAGGCAATAAAAAATGTGTGGCGGCGGTGTAGCTTCATTCGTAAATATGAAGTGGTATCGATCTACTTTTGTGTGTTTTAAGTTTTCAAACGACCTTTTTGACTGTGTAACTTTAAGATGCCGTCCAAAACACTTGATTAAATACAATCATGTTCATGTTACCAACATTCACGTGACTCGAGACTGCACATCATGTGCACCATATGTTTTCGCTAGCAAATTCACTAAATTCGCCGTTACTGCCTTTAGTGGTTCACTTTCAATTGTATGTAGTGATTTTAATTCGTGTGACTGTAGCTTCCTTTCGTCACTAGGTCACAAAAATGTAGCAGGTTTTCTCACTCGTTTAGCTGATCATTTAGACTTAGTTTTCATTAATTATGTGGAGATATAAGTGACCCGTAAACGTTCTTCATTGTATAATTCGTGTTCTACCTAAAGCATATGGCAAGCTTGGGAAAAGCGCACTCTTACATCGGACAAAAAAAAGTCAAATACAAGAGAAAGTATCCCAAATCTAGAAACCAAGTTTTGTGCGGCTAACTGGGAATTATTTACAAATGAGTCACTGGAAAACACTACTGATATTATCACTTATTATCTGAAATTCTGTTCTAATGTTTGTTGTCCTACTGAAACCATCTTTGTAAGTTTTGATCGACTTACATCTCCACAACTAAAACGATTATGAAGGGTAAAAATATAATGTACAGGGAGGAAACTTCATGGGAGCTCGAAATACAAATGGTCCAATAAGTCTAAACATTAGACGTCTGAACCATTCGTTTACTCAAAAACTCCTATCTTGTTAAAACTCTTCAAGTTTGTGGAAACTATTTAAAGAGCTTGCAGGTGGAAGACACATTAGGGGTGATACTCAGCTGAATGTCTGTGACTTAGATAAGTCTTTTGCCCTTCAGTCAACTGATGTCATGCTGTCGATATTCATAGGCTTGAAGAATGGTTAAGTTCCGATTTCCACTGAAACTGATGCCAGGAAACGTCCACCGTCATTCAACTCATCCCAATGTTTATGGCCTGATGAAATCCTTAACCTGCGTTTTGAAAAGTGTGCTGATGTTCTATATCACCCACTCACGAGCATCTTTAAGAAATCCTTCTCAACTTATGTCATACCGAAAATGTTAGTACGATCGGACAAGATAAATGGTGGCCTTCTTGAATATCTGGGCTACCTCTCTAGATATTTCAGCAAGTTATTTGTTTTTGCTTGTTTTAGCACATTATTATGTTTCTTAATCGTACTACCCATTAAGGCGCACTTATGAAAAATTTCCAACCTTCCGCTGTACGAGTTACAAAAAAGCCCAACCAGAGACATCATAGTTGCTGAAAATATGCAGCGGATAGAATTAACATTATTTAGATGTTTCACACTTAATCCGTCTAAATATCAAACTGTTAACTTTAGCCTGGAACATGAACAGCACTTAAACATCCTTTTGGAATCCCATAAAACTTGTACTGTTGCAGATTCCTTAATAAATACAATGTCGAAGGTCATCTATCTTGGTATAAGTTTTTCCTTTGATCTCTCTTGGTCTTCTCATGTTTTATTGCTATTGGAGTGATTTTTTCGTCTGACTTATTACATAAAGAGGCTACATGCTTTTGTCATTACTCGATATTTACTCTTTCGATATGTTAACTATTGCATGTTACCTATTATTCTTTACTGTTCTGCATTATTCTGTCTCAGGCTTTGAGAAAACACTTTGCTATATTGAAGAGTGCTGACGATGGTTAGTAGGGTGTATAACAAATATTTCAAAGTCATTAATTATATGGTTGTGCATAGACATCTAATGTACAAACTTCTGACAGATGTTGTCTTATCAGAAACTAACTATTCACTTCATTCATATCTTTCTCCTTGTATATCTTCTGGTAGAATGAGGCGTCAATACATTAGAATACACTCACGTAAACGAAGGTATAAAGCTCTACAATACCTTATCTAGCAAATATACTGTGTGATGAACAGGTTGTTAGGGGTGACCTAGTCAGTAAATTGTATTCTTAATTAATTGAAAAAGTTGTAGAGATCCAAATCTTAGAAAAACATTTCTTTTGATTCCGGGTACTTTATTTATTGAATGTATGTATTTATAATTATACATTTATCGGTTTTTTCTTTTGTTTTGCATAAGAAATTTACCAGAATACCTTGTGCTGATAAGTCTATATTGTACCAAAAATATAATACTGAATAGTCATTAATAATTATATTAATAACAAATTAGTGATTGAATTTAAAGTTTTACAATAATTAAAAGACTACGTATAGTTGAAACAAGTAAAATTTTTCAGTAAAGTTTTTCTATCAGGTGATGTAACACATTTGAACTCTACTACTACTACTATAAAGTTACAAGAAAGAATCAAACCTTTAAAAAAATATTATTTAACTAGCTTATTTTTCTTATAGAATGTTGGCTATGATTACATTAAATATATACTTAATACTTGGCACGAAGAAGGTCGTTTACAAAATCTCATACAAGGTGTGAAACTACATATTTCCTCTTTGACTGAAATATCTACATGTGAGATAGATCCATCAACTACTCAGTTAACTCCAGTTCATTCAACAGCAACTCATAACTGGTTAACTCAGGTTAGTAAAATGTGATATATTCTTTTATGTTGGTTCTACATTTCTACTGATAATTCACTTATACATTAAAATACTGGATCTTTAACATATATATGCATTATTTTATAGCAAAGTTGTCAAAATCTTTTTTTAATTACATAAATCAAGGGATATAATGTGATTTATATCGGAAAAAAGACCGACTTTTGTACATTATTATATCGTTTGTTATTGTTCAAAATGTATTTTGTATGCCAGAATATAAATTAAAATCTTATCGTATATGACTTAATTAAATTACTATTTGAAATCATTATACATCACTTATTATTCTCATATAGTATAATTTGCTTTAATAAATATTTTAATATGAAACGCAATACACAATCATATACATCATGACAGTTGAACCAAACTATTCTATCAAAAGAATCCTTCGAAAATATTGGTAATAGTACCGTCATGTGTTCATATTAATTTGATAGGTTTGATTGAAATAGTTGTAACATAATTTAACAGGTTTTTAATTATTTCTACAATTTTGTAGTAAAATGTTTGTAGTTGATGAGTATATTATCTTCATTGGCTCATTTATAGAAAATTGATTTTTAGAAGAATTCTCGAAACAAAAAGATTATAACTTTATTTTTCTGTAAATCCATACTGAACAGTCGAGTAGATCATAGTAGAAATCTATCGGCTATCAATTAAATTAATGGTGATATTTTCAGTGGAGTTATACATTCTGTTATACAAATACGATTTTGCTATTGACTAGTTTTATAGATTGATTATCTTTTTTTATGAATAGAATATCTCTAAAGCTGTGTATAGTTACTCCTATTATGTAGATATGGTAACTATACAACTTTACAGACTTGCAATTTTGGAAACATTATCTTAATCTGTATGTGTGTATATGTAACATCATCTCAAATAATTGAATTAACAATAACAGGAAGTCTCGTTGTTTCCTACTGGTTTCTTTTTCTGCCTTGTTCGTCAATGAATGGGACTGATTAGTCTTAATAATGAATCGTCTCAGTCCATAATAGGAAAATCGAAACGTTTTTTGTGATATACACTGGCAAATCAGATTGATTATACATACTCCAAAATCCCTAAATTTATAAACAAAGGGAAAAAAGACGAGTAACTTACAGGTCTATTAAATGAGTATATCTTTCCAAGCTCTTTTGTGTTAACTTTCAAAAAGCTTGTTACATAGCAAAATCTTTTTCTGTACGTTACGTTTAACAAATATTACTTCATAATTTCCAAAGTATTTCAATTGTATGATAATTTTGTTAGTTTTTGTCTGGTGCAGAAATAAATATTAATGATCCTCATAGATGTCCGACCTCACAATTTCTTAAATATTTTCGAAATTAGCTGGTAAATGTAGCATGTTTAATATTTGAAGATTTAATACTGTACTGGTGTATTTCCCGTTTAAGTTTAAGAAAACGAATAACATTTCTTTGGAGTAGAACAATGAAGTGTTCTAACCACTTAGTCTGATATACAAAATTACACTTTCCTTACGACAAACGCAAACTTTTTGTTCTATTGCTCAAAATCTGTTTGTTTTGTATATACTTTAACAACTCATGTTCTCGCTTATACGGTAAGTTGAACACTTTTTCGTTTTATAAGAATATTAGTCAAGATTAGAACGAATAGTTTGACAGAAATTAGGCGCCGAGTATGGAGAAATCATTATATGTGAAAATTATATTTGAAATAATCTCAGAGATTGAAATTTAAATAATTCCAACGTTTCGTCCAGCTATATATTTCTTTGATTTTAATTATTACCCTGAAGAAGTCCAGACATGTTCACTGGACGAAACGTTGGAATTATTTAAACTTCAATCGCTGAGATTTGTTTCAAATATAATTTTCACTTTTCCGTTTTGTTTTTTTATCTATATGTGTCGCTGATATGCTTAGCAGTTTAAGCGGTTACATTATTATTGCAAGTCTAATAACTTACGTTGACTATTAAAAACACTGATAATAGGGTTTTTAAGTGAGAATAATCCGTTAATTATCTTAATGAATCATACAGTGGATTAAAATAAGATTCTTTTGTGACCATTGATAAATTTTTGTTTTTTCCTCTATCTAATTCATATATATATATATATATATATATATATATATATATATATATCCTTGTTCTTTTCTTACAGAGTTTTAGTGATCAGCCCACATTCATTGATCTAGCTGAATGTGTAGCTAAAACATCCAAAGGTGTGAATTCTTCAGGTAGGTGTTTTTTCTCTGCTAATTTATGTTTCATAACGTTTCTTATGGAAAAACAGTGGTAGGTTCTTGAAAAGTCTTATTAATTTTACATTAAGGGTAATAATGGTTATTAGTTTGTGCAAGTTCCGAAAACGAATGATTAATAGATTACTCAGAATTTATGGGTAAAGTTATTATATCGTATGTTATCAAATCACGACCAAGTAATAATAACTAAGGATCGCTTCAATTAGCTAGTTACTGTAGTTGAGTGCTTTAAAATGTTATGCGTATAAATCTAAATTGATCGTCTAGATTATGAATGTAACCCGTTTATATAACATTGTACAAAATTATTTTTCACATATATTTTACGTGTTTGTGTATGAATTCATTGGCCCTGTTATGTATGTAATCAGCGAATTGTCGAATCCTTGAGAATAAGGGATACAATAGACTGATTTGAAGGTCACATTTACGTAAACTCAGTATCCAGTACCAACTTGATAATCAACGATGTAACACAGTACTTGATACAATAGAAAGAGTCACAGCATTATTAGTTATTTACGGTGTTCACTAATATTGATGATCAAATGTTTTCCTAATAACTCACAGTCAAACTACCTTGTTTTGATACTCTACATGTAAAAGACAGTTGTTGCTTCAGGACTGGTCCGCGTTAACACCTGAACTAAGGATAGGGAGTGAAGTAGTCGAACGCGTTGACAACTTCACTTATCTTGGAAGTCTGATCAGCCCTAATGGGTTGGTGTCTGACGAAATCTCAGCACGGATTCGAAAAGCTCGTTTGGCTTTTGCCAACTTACGTCACCTGTGGCGAAGGCGAGATATCCGTCTATCAATAAAAGGACGAGTATACTGCGCGGCAGTCCGTTCTGTTTTAATTTACGGTAGCGAAACATGGCCCTTAAGAGTAGAAGACACTCGTAAGCTATTAGTATTTGACCACAGATGCCTTAGAGATATTGCTGGCATCTGCTGGGATCACCGGGTAAGTAATAGTGAGGTTAGACGCAGGGTATTAGGAAATGATGGTAAATCAGTGATGAGGTTATGAATCTTCATCGACTGAGATAGTTGGGCCACGTGTTACGTATGCCTGAATACCGATTACCACGACGTGCAATGCTATCCGGTATTGGAGATGGTTGGAAGAAAGTTAGGGGCGGCCAAACCAAAACGTGGCATCAGTGCTTGAAGTCACTAACTTGTAGTCTGAGCCATGTTGGTAGATGCAGACTACTTGGTTGGGGTCCGCGTGACTATCGTAACCAATGGTTGGAGACTCTTGGTGACATGGCTCAGAACCGACCACGATGGCGTCGGTGTATACACTCTCTGTCTTCTCTTAAACTAAGAGATTAAAATCGCTTCATATCTTTCTTTCTACGAACCAATTCTTTCTTCTTGTATTATATCTCTATATGCAGTCTTTCTCTTATATATTACCACCTTTGACCTAACCACTCCTATGAATCCGGTGTTCATCTTGTTGTGCTGATGCGGTATGGCAACCTGGACCGATGCATATATGTGCCTGGTCCTATGTTGTAGCTGACTGACTGACTGAAAAGACAACTTCGATTTCCTCAATATTGACTCAGTCAGTTAGCTGATAGTTCTATCTTCATTTTTTGAGTGAATTATGCACATGCACAAATTATTCACATGTTGGTTCTGTCATTATAACAGTGTTGACGTATGACTTACGATATACTAGTCCATCTGTCTGTGGAGAAATTACTCAGTAAAGTAGAAAACTGATCGATAAAGGGATTACATCCATTCTGAATATATTAGAGATTCGAGCTCACATGGTCATTGTACAAATATATATTTATACTACTTCATTAATGAACACTATGTAGTGAATATTGTCTTTCACAATGTTTAAGATCGATTTGGTTAGTAAATATGCAACCTCAACATGTCGATAATGGAAGAACGATAAGGCTCGCTGTTTTGTATATAGGTATGAGGCTAGTATGGCTTGTAAACTGATTGTGTAGCTGTCAAATTGAAGGGGATTTAAGCTGTCAGATCTATGATACTTGAAATTATTTCTATTCTTTGTTGTATTTGATAGTTATATCAGACACTTGGAGTACTATATTTTTATATTTACTTACTTGCAAGCTGTTGTCTAACACATAAACCGTCTCAGATTTATTATAAACTACTTCCCTTTTCCTTCTTTTTTATCACTCATGGCCACGCGTATACAGCCACTGCCAGGGATGTCCCACTCACTGCCTCCCCGCGGCGGTATTGTTCACGAAATTGAAAAGACTAAAGGGAATGTCCGGGGAGTTGGAAAACTCTGATTCCAAACCAATGGTGCACATGATCTCCTGGCGTATGAACCAATCGTCGGTTGCCGGTTACCATGGGACTGCATCTCCTGATGTTGCTCCACTGCCCTTGTGGATCAGACCTTTAGGTCTAAGGTTCGAGGTGTGGCCTCCTAACAAAACTGCCTGCTTCGGTCTGAACACCCGGGAAGTATCACAGCCCACAGACAAACCAAGTGACTTGTGTGGCCCCTTTGTACCAATATTTATGTGTTTGAATAAGTGAATAAACACTGAGTTAGAGGTTTCTTGAGGAATGATAGGCGTTAAAGTCTAGATCATCGATCCTACAAACCAAATATAGGTGTACCTGTTATTAATAATAGATAGTCTGATCACGCTGACCCCAGTATAATCCAAAAATTGGTTTTTGAAGATGCAACAGTAATTCTCTAGGGTGTACAGTTTACCTTATTATATGTAACCCAACCTGTAAATCATAGTATTTACTAATGTATAGAATACTATTCATTTGGATATTTGTTTTCAAATAAAGTGTATCAGTTTTCGCTCTCATTAACAAGAGAACTTATGAACAATGTACGACATGACATAAGTGTGTAACATAATATTGTAATTTGCATCGCCACTCAGGGGAAGACAAATAGCAAGGGAGAAGGCAAAAGATAGTCATTATGCCAACTGCAGAAGAAAAGGATGCCTTAGTAGTTTTAGGTTGTCTACCATTCTTTATAAATGAGATATTGACTTACAATCAGACGGTGTTATTAAAAAATAACGGTTTAGTTTGTTTCACAGGTCCAGCGGAAAATCTACGAATAACAATTATATATAGGTATAATTCGGCTAATAAATACAATGTTTAACCCTTTCAAAATTTATAAAACACGCGTTTGCATATCTGGTACTTGAAGTAATCAAAAGAAGACTTTTACAGTTACTATACATAGTATTTGGTTTTTTGGTTCTAGTAGTAAAAGCTTTGAACTTAATCAACAACACATTTGTTTTTTTTTTAAAAACAGGTTCTGATAAATACCATAGAACAGATGGTACCAATGTACAAAATTTCCCTCAGTTACCTGATATAGCTAGTAAAATTACTATAACTGATATTCCTACCTATACCGATCCTACTGTTTCCAGTGGTAGCAGTATAACTGCTGTAAGGAAATTTCCGAAATCTACACACACCGTTGTTTCAGATTCAACATCACGATATTTTGATACTGATCACTGTTTACAGTCTGGATCCAGTTCGAAAATTTCATCTTCAAATGAACAACATCGCAAGGAAGAACAAAAGCATATTTTCGACTTTTTGAAGAATAATCTGTCTTCCAAGAGTAGACGACGTTTTCTAAGTGATTGTTACGATTCATCTTTAAATGTCGGTAGCAGTTATTCATACCGAAATTCAGACGTCTTACGTAATGTATATCGTGCTCCAATCCTAAACAATTTGATTATAAGTGGTGTCCACCCTAATCATTTACGGAAATATAAATCTGATTATGGTCTACAAGCATATGACAACAGTCAAACAGGGAATTTAATGATGAATAGTGATCTCGACCCAGTAGTTAATGCATCTGAAAAATCTGCACACGTTACTAAATACAGTCTGTCTTCCTTTAGATCTTTGGAAGATGATGGTTATTTAGAAGATGATGAAAGTTCCACAGACTGTGCACATTCTCCAGTTACAGCATCTGATCCCGAATTAAGACATGATGTTTACCCCGAATCCAGTAATGCAGAAGACAGGGTTTTGCGCCAGAGATCATCTTCTATCTATGGACTTCCACATTATTTGTTACATACAGAAGTGTCAAACAAGAGATGTGATTCACCGAATTCTGATAATAATGTGAAAAATCCATCCACCATAAAAGGTCAACAAGGAAGTAATGATGCGAATGTGTTTATGAACAACCCATTGCTTAAGTTAGATATGACATCTGTACGTAATCGGACGAAGCCAAATCGCAAAAGACATCACCGTTCATCATTAGATCGAGTAAGACATTGAGATTTGTTCAATGCTCATGTACCTTTAATTTCTCAGTATACTTTCGTATTTTATTGCTATTTGACGATTATGTTTTCAGTGAAGCTTGGGTTTCGCGTTGTCTGAAGAGATGAGCAGTAGCGTAAGGATTAAAGCGCTTTGCTTTCAGCTGCTTACGCGCAGGTTCCAACCTACTTTTATCTGGTCAGTCAAGTTAGTTTCATCAGCTATTTTCCTGTCTCCAGAAATTGACAGGTAAAAATAAAACTATCGACAAATTAAGCATCCTGAATACTAGTGCTAAGTTTTGTGCTTCCATTATTGGACTGTCTTATTTCTTATGGATGACTAGACTATCATCAGTTTAATTGTGTTCTGCATTAATTCTGGACAAAGATTTGTAGTCTATTAAGTATTCATATTACATCTACATTTACTACGGGATGTATATATTTATTTGGTGCCGTGTATAACTACCGTTTTAGGTGTGACTTAGTGTTATAACCTACAAAGTTGTTTCCAAATATCGGGGTTCTAGCCTTTAAACCATATATCTCGTACCTGGAGATCAATTTAAAACCATTTATAATAAGAATTCCTGAAATGTTTTCTTTTGATTTCATAGTTACGGACTGATCGTGATCGAGGGGCAGCAAACTCGCTTGTTAACCTGCCATAATGACAAGTTAAATGATTACATTGAATTGATAAATAATATGTGCTTTTGTATGTACATATTCGTAAAATTGTGATATTTCATTTATCAATTACGTCTACGTATATGAAGACATGTTTGCTTTTATATTTTATTTCTTTTTACTTCCGAATACTCACTCATTCATTCACTTTCATTCTAAAACAAGGAGATTCTTTAAGCTAATATACATATATATTTCATAAGTAAAGAACAAAATCACTTCACATTTCCCACGTGATAAATATTTGAAAACAGATGTTATATTTCATGTTTACTATATACATTACCTACAACGATTTCATTTTGAGTGTTCTTTTCTTCTACATTTAGCTTATGTATGATATAACTGAGTTTACTTGAATGCTGCATGTGTTTAAATTGTATATCAACCTGTAATTGATGACTGTTTATGTTTAGGCTAATGTGAAGGGCGACTGAAATGCTTTTACAAAAATAAAGGCTGAACTAAGCGAATAGGAGTATATGAGTTACACTAATTTGTGAAGTAAAATGAAATCAATATTATCAGGGTAGGTTTATTGTCACTACTGATTATTTTTGAACACACAGGAGGGTTTGAATTTCCGTATTGTTAAGATTGCAGCAAATCTAATCATTGGTTCTGGATCATTTTCATGAAACATTACAAAGTTAATTTAAAACTAATCCTACGACCTGCTTTAACTATATGTTTGACACTACAGATTGCTGTTTACCCTCCGATCCTACTAGATTATCCCATTTCATATAAACCTAAATCTAATTAGCATCAGAAGGTTAAAATGCTTCAAGCACAGGTTATTTCTCATTTAATACTTACTGACAGATAAGGAACAATTATGCTCTTGTTTGGGTGTAATGTCATAAACAGTAGATGGTCCTACTACTTCTAATGTTTATTAGAGACTTTATAAACCTTTTCACCATAATTTTGAAGAAAAAAAGGCTTGTTCAATGTAATACATGTTCAAGGAGATTTTCAAGTACATTGCTCAGTAATTTCTGTTTCTATGGGTTTTTCCAAAATACACGTGTCTATTTTCCTCTTTTTACGTAAATTTTCGATTTTCTCATCCACAGTAAGTTCCACATGTCTTGTAGACAGCTTCTTAATTACAGTTTTCTTATTAGACAGTTCTAAAGTGCTAATAAATTTAGCCTCTGGAGATATTTCATCCAAATGATGATTGATTAGTGAGCTATTTGGGATGGTACCTGTAACAAGAAATATATTGGATCTAGTTATATGCTGATAAAATCAGTTAATAACAAATTTGTGTGAAAAAAAGCGATACTGTCTTCGTACTTAAATTCAGGTTAGCAGAGAGAGAAGTTTCGATAATTAGTCCTGTATTTGGAAGGAGAATGCTCAGATTTGGGAGCGCAATATATACAAACAATGGCGAATACACTTGTACTCATAACTATCGACTCTTTAGTCGTTGTACTTCTTTATATCGAACACCTGCAAAGCATTATGTTATGCATGAGTGACTACACAATATGACTACTTGAATTCATACAAAGCCCTCATTAAGAATCCTAGTAAGCTAATTAAAAGAGCGGGAATCCATATAGTTATGGAACACAATGATAGGCAAACATACTTTCAACATAATTCAACATTCTTCTGACAATAGCTGATCTGGAAATAATTTGGATAAAAATCGTTTAAAGAAAAGTACAATATTTCTACCGGATTCCGTATTCTGACCACAATTTCTGATAATGTTTGACCAAATCTAGTTGAGCAGCTAGAAATTTTATCGTAGAGTGAAGTGATTATCCACATACCTTCACTTGTTTCCCAATTTAAACAAGATTCTGGGTAGGTGCCAGCAATAAATAACAACGGGAAGTCTTTGGGAGATATGTATTACTGTTCAGAGACTTACCAGCTGCAAGGTGATAATGAGGTTTAGCGGGAGTCTTACTCAAATCCAACATGTCATCAACAACCTTTAATATAAAATGAAATCAATGTTTTTTTTAAATCCCTAATCTATAGGTAGAAAAAATAAATGTTAACTAAACATAACGAAAAGTTATTGCCAAGTAGTGTTGAATATGTTCTTTTAAGGATTACAGCTGTATGCATACTGTTTTATGCATGATGCCTCTTTTGAAGTGTAAAAACAACTAATCATACAGATCTACTACGTAAGGCAGATAACAGAGTCAGTCAGTAACAACGTAGAACTTCGTACGTATGTACATCAGTTCGAGTTGCCATACTACATTAGCACAGAGATGCAGTGGTCGATTCAAATCTCGTAGTGGTAGAGGTAGTACGAGTATAAGCAGTAATCGGAAAGGTTAGGGTTTGGAGATGTTATTTAAAGAGTGTAATCCAGTGAAAATAATCTGGGAAGAGAAAAAAAAGAGACGAGGAATCAGGAGATTAAAATTTGGGAGAACACAAAGAGTGTATGCACCTGCGCCATTGCAAACGATTTTGAGCCATGTCATTCAGGGTCTCTAACCATCGGTTGCTATCATCTCGCGGTCCCCAACCAGGTAGTCTACACCTACCAACATGACTCAGTCACTTGTCAGTGACTTCATGGACTTGTGCCATGTTTTGGTCTGGCCGCCCCTAGCTTTCTTCCAACCTACTCCTACACCACATCGAGGCAGTCGGTCGTTGGGCATACGTAACACGTGTCCCAGCCATCTCAACTGATGAAGTTTCACTACGTCATCAATTGATTTGCCATCCTTACCTAGTACCCGTTTCCTAACAACTGTGTTACTTACTCGATGGTCCCATGATATACGAGCAATGTTTCGAAGACACCTATGATCAAATACTAGTAACCTACGAATATCCTCTACTCTTACCGGCCATGTTTCACTGCCATAAAGTAGGACGGAACGAACTGCTGCGCAGTAAACACGTCCTTTGGTTGATAGACGGATATCTCGCCTACGCCATAAATGACGCAAGTTGGCAAAAGCTAGTCGAGCCTTCTGTATCCGTGCTGAGATTTCGTCACACACCAGACCACAAGGGCTGATGAGACTTCCAAGATAAGTGAAGCGGTCGACACACTCAACTACTTCACTCCCTATCACTAGTTCGGGTGTCGATGTAACCCAATCCTGAAGCAACATTTTGCATTTCGAGGGGGAGAATCGCATCCCGAACATGCTTGCATTGTTGCTTAGAGTGGTCAGAAGACTCTGCATTTTGTCAGCGTCTTCACCAAATAAAACTATGTCATCAGCATATTCTAAGTCAACAAGTGAACCTCCTGGTAGAAGTTCAACCCCTGGAAATTTAGATGAGGAGAGTGTTATCTCTAAAAGTACGTCGACCACAAAGTTGAACAAGAATGGGGAGAGTGGACAGCCCTGACGAACACCACTTGAGGTAATCAATTCTGATGACAGTTCGCCATAAGCTCTCACTCGACCAGTTGTGTTCGAGTAGAGAGCCTTTATAAGGTTAATGTACTTCTTTGGTACTCCTTTCAGTGACAAACACTGCCATAGAACCTCACGATCAACCGAGTCGAATGCCGCCTTAAGGTCGAGAAATACTACCATTGTGGGGCGTCTGAATGTGTGTCTGTGTTCTAGAACCTGACGTAGTGTGAATATCTGATCTATACAACCACGTCCAGGTCGAAAACCAGCCTGGTTTTCTCTAGTCTGCTCTTCACGAGCTTTGGTTAGGCGTCGAAGTATTATTGAAGCTAATATTTTAGACACTATATTAGTCAAACTGATTCCTCTGTGATTGTCACAAGAGGACTTTTGTCCTTTCTTATAGACTGGCACAATCAGTGATTGAGACCAGTCAGATGGGATTACGTCCAGTTCCCAAATTCTACCTAAGACCTCAGTTAATCTCATTGCTAATACTGGACCACCATCCTTAAAAATCTCAGGAGTAAACCTGTCAGGGCCTGCTGCTCTCCCTCGTTTCAGATTTCCTATGGCTTTTTCAACTTCGTAAAGAGACGGAGGACCTACATTAACTTGCCATTCAGGTTGACTGGAGATCGTGGGAAACCGAAGTGTGGCTGAAGGCCAGTTGAACTGATCCCTAAAGTGTTCTGCCCATCGATCCAATCTCCTGGATTGAGAATGTATAATATGTCCATCTTTCTCTGAGATTGTTTCGCTAACAGTCGGTTTCCTTAACGAGTCTGAACAATTGTCTGCTATTACCTATTGCCGCTGCCTTTTCCATCTCTCTTGCTTTCGCTACCCACCACTGTTCGCGATCATTGCGTAGACTTCTTGTCAGCTTGCGCTTAAGCTGACTCCGCTCTTCATTATGTTCAGAGCCAGGTGGAATGAGTTTCCGAGCATCTATCAGTGCGATAGATGCTGCTGAGATCCAGTGTTGCTCCCTAACCTTCTGGTTTACCTTACTAGCAGATATCACTGCTGTTTCCACAGCTTTTCGGATATCATTCCATGCTGCATCGGGGTGGGCATCACATACATGGCTGCCTAACTGTTTTCCTAGTTGTTCCTGAAATATACTCTTAGCTTGACTATCATTAAGTAGGCCCTAAGAGGTTTCCTTGCAGCGTCTTTCCTACGTCCAGTAAGACGCAAGCAAATACGCGCTCGCACTAGAGCATGATCTGAATCTAGGCATGTGCTCCAGAATGAGCGACAGTCTTCTATCGAGCCCCTCCATCGGTGGCTGATAGCGATGTGATCTATTTGGGTCCAACGTTGGGACGAATTAGGGGGTCGCCATGTTAAAAGATGTTTTTCCTTATGCTTAAAGTTAGTATTTGCAAGGAACAGGCGGTTATCTGAGCATAGCTGCAACAGACGGTCGCCATTATCTGTTCTTTGAGCCACGACACCATAAGATCCACCTAGGTGTCTTTCCCTATCGCTTAGTTTACCTACTTGAGCATTAAAGTCACCGGCCACTATTACTACATCCGAGCGCTTAGCTTTTCGGAGAAGGTCCGAAAGCTTTCTGTAAAACTCATCTTTTACATCATCTGAGC